AAATAGCTTTTATTTTTTGTCCAAATGACGATGTCGTCTATCGTCGATAACACTATATTATAATATATTATCAATATGACAATATATCATATTATATGTCGTAGTATTATTGTTACTTGATTCAATATCTTTTATTATAAAATATTTTCTGATGTTTATAGCGTATTCTTATAGAGTACTGAGTGATTAGAAAAATATAAAATTGTTTATATCACTTTAAGCATAATATTTTATTTTTAACTATTATTTTATTTACGATTATTTCTCCTGATACGGAGAGTGGGTGACACGAGTTAGGCGCAGTGTAGTGCTAGCGAAGCACAGAACTTAAAGTGTTAAGTGTTAATAATTATTATTTAACATACAAATTACAAATGACCGTGTACGACAACGTGTTGACGATTTGACATCAACCTCATCCAAGAAACATCTAATATTGTAAGTTGATATTTATTAATAATATTTAAATATTATTTGTCAATTTTTCAGTTGATGAAAGGTTATTTCTAGTAATTTAACGTTTTACTTTTAGTAGATAATCATAATTAATAGGGTGACCAGACGTCTCGTACTATAGGTACGGTTAAGTTTCGTACTTAGGTATTTTAAAAGACTGTCCTGTAGTCCCCACGAATGCTTTCGGGACGCTTAATGCTTATATATGTCCTGTATGGCTATATTCAAATAATATATCTTCTTTGTATCGCCTTATTATAAAAATTCAAATAATCGTCATATTAGTAATTAAAAAATTAATAAAAAATATTATTTAAGAAGGTTTCTAGCTACAACAGATTATTTGTTTTATTTTGTTTACTGTTTATCAATTTTTTTAAATAAAAATATTAATAAAAAGTTAATTTATTATTATTTATGATAAGAGATTATTTTAATTTTTGAATCTCATATAGGTATGAACTAAGTTTTTCATTTTTAATAACACTAAAAATAATAATTATTTTAGTAAATTAAAAATTAAAAACAAATGTTACCAATAATGGTTACTAGTTACTACAAATTATTTATTTTATTTTGTTTAGGTAGTGTTTAACAAATGTTTAACTAAAAATATTCATGAATTGTATTATATATACCTAGGTACATATGTATTTTTATTCTATATTATAAAAAGTATCCTAATGTTTTGTTTTCCCCAATAATCCCAAATTTTTAATCTGATCACCCTAATAATTGCTTAAAATAAGATATCAATTTGTGTTTTTGCTGCCTCCTTAATAATTATAATATAATAATAATTTGTGTGACAATTTAAAATTCAATGAATTTTGAGATTTTATAATTATAACAAATATTTATTAACCTTTATTATCAAAAAATAAAAATTTAAAATAATTCTAGGAATGATTTATTTTTGATTATAACTTTTATGGTCTTAACTCTTAATAAACAAATAACAATTGTATAATATTTAATTATTTAAGTCGTTAACGCTTTTAAATTCATATAAATATAAAACATACTTTTAAACTTCAAATAAAATATTAAAAAAAAAAAAAAAAAACTAATATCACTTTATACAAATAAATATTGAAAACAATCAAAACTTAATTTTGTTCTTTTGTTGGTGTTATCACCTTATATTCTAGGGCCTAGAATAAAACGTGTTGTTCTTTTTTGTAGGTACTAAAATAATCGTATTTGTACAGACTAATAAAAAATTGTTTTCACATTTATTTCTTTAGGAAAATGAATTTAATATAGTTATTAATTAAAAATATGATTATTTACTATTGCTATTTTTTAAAATAAATGTTTACTGGTATTGTATAGTCGAAATGGACTCTAAAAAAAAGAAAAAGAGCGGGTATGAGTTTCGTGCAGCAAAAAAGAAAAAGGATCTTCTATCAATTGCCAGCTCTTCGCAGAAAATTAATTCCTTTTTTACAAATTCACATAATGTTAATGATTCAGAACATCCAAAAGAGAAGTTAAAAAACACAAAGAACGAAACAAAAGACTATAAAATGGAAATACAACATCAAGAAGTAGACATCGAGGAAATACCTATAGAAAAATCAAAAAACTCGAAGAACGAAAAAAATTTTATTCAAATAGAAACCGTTCAGAATCTAATACAGCAGCAAGAAGAAAACATCGAAAAAATAGAAATACAAAACATGGAAGTTGAAAAACGTGAAAAAATGAATGACAGTTTCACTTTAGCAATTAATACCGTTAACGAAGTAGAAGAAATAAATGTAATTAGTATGTTTTGTAAGCCAAAAATAAACCAAATACGTACATTTTTTTCATTTCATCCAATCCAGCCACATAATACGTTACATAAGCGTTTGCCATTTAATGAAAATATATTTTTTGGTGATCAAAGAAATAAATTCAATCGACGGTGGTTAACATATGATGAAAAAAATGAAATGTTATATTGTACCATATGTTTAGTGTACAGAAATGATGTTTCGAAATTTCGTTCTGGATTCAATGATTGGAGGCATATTACCCAACGTGTTAAAGAACATGAACATTCTAAACATCATATTTCATCTGCAGAATCTTATATGCAAGATAATAAAGAAAAAAGTGTTTTAAATTTATTATTTGGAGCACAGATGGAGAAACAAAGAAAAGAAGTTTATGAGAGGCGTTGTGTACTTTTACAAATAATAAATGTAATTAAACTGATTGGCAAACAAGGCATACCTTATAGAGGCGATAAGAATGAAGCTGCCTATAGACTTGATGATGATTCATTGAATCATGGGAACTTTTTAGAAATAATTTTACTATTATCAAATACTGACAATATATTAAAGTCCCACGTACAAAAATCAATTGAGCTAAGTAAAAAAGCTCATCAGTCAGCAGAAACAAAAGGTAATAAGAAATACGGCCGTGGAAGCTTGGTGACATTTTTGAGTTCGACTACTGTAACTAATATAATTCAACACATTGGGCATGAAATTCAGAATATCATATCAAATCAGGTCAAAGAAGCGAAAATGTTTTCTATAATGATGGACACTACAATGGACTTATCTTCATTTGATCAATGTTCAATCGTACTTAGATATGTAATACACGATGAAGTTTTTGAACGAGTAACAGCATTGAAGCACGTCATTTCTACTTCTGGACAATCGCTTTTTGATACTTTACGTAATACACTAGATGTACTCAACTTGCCTATAGAAAATTGCATTGCAAATGCTTTTGATGGTGCTGCGAATATGTGTGGACAATATAGTGGCGTATCTGCAAAATTATCAGAAATAATCGCTAATCACATCCATACATGGTGCTATGCACATGTACTAAATCTGGTAGTTTCAGATACAACCCAATGCTTAACAACATGTGTTACATTTTTTAGTTGTGTTCAAGAAGTCCATGTATTTTTTAAAGAGTCCTATAAAAGATTTACTGTATACGAAAAAGAAAAACCATCTCTCAGGTTAGCAAGTATAGGAGCAACCCGATGAAGAAGTAAAAATGATGCTATCGTAAAAATATTTGGGCGTATTGACTTTTGGAAAAATGAAAACTTTCACCCTGGAAATCAATACAAATGTGTTTATTATGAACTTTTGGTATCTTTATACAACATTTCAAATTCTAAAGATTTTAATTCAAAAGCAAGAAATGATGCACTGTCTTTTTTAAAAAAATTTTGTTCATTTGAAACTATACTAGTGGCAATGATGTTTCTTCAAATTTTTAAAATTACTACACCATTATCAGATTATCTCCAGACTCAAAATCTTGATTTTGTACAAGCTTATAACCAGATAAGTTGTACTTACACTAGTCTTATAGAGGTAAAAGCTAATTTTAATGATATCATGAAAGCTGCCAAATGTTTTGTTAATTATTTTAAAAGTAAAATTGAAAACCATGAAGATCAAATTGATATTGAAATTGAAGAAGAACTCCCAATAAGACGTAAAAAAACTATTAAACGCATGTCAGGAGAACTTGCTCGCGATGAATATATTATTGATGAAATAGACAGATTTCGAGTAACGATATTTAATTATACATTAGACACAATTTTGAAAAGTGTAGAAACGCGATTTTTATTACATAAAGAACTTTATCTAGAATTAGAATGTTTTGATCCTCGCAGGTTTAAAAGCATAAGGGAAAATGGTGTTCCATCAAATGCATTAAAAAAAATTTGCCAACTATTACCCGATATAGATAGAGATAAACTTAAAGATGAACTTGTATCATTTGCTACATCATGGCCATTGATTTCTAAAGCAGATTTGCATAATGCATACGATAACTTAGATGAAGTTAATATTGAAGATGAATGGACAGACGTCGACTTCGATAAGCCACAAAAGTGTAATAAAGATAAAACATGTAATATATGTTTAAAATGTTCCTTGCGTATATTAACAGAATTTAATATGTACTCTATACAATACAAAGAACTGTATATTGTATATAAATACCTACTTACCCTTCCTCTCACACAAGTAACGTGTGAACGTTCATTTTCGAAGTTAAAACTTTTAAAAACAAGATTAAGGTCCACAACTGCACAGGAAAATTTAGAGTGTTTATTTTTAATGCAATGTGAACGAGATATTTTAAATCAAGTTGACGGGAATCATATAATTGATAAGATGTGTTCTTCAAGCCAAGAAATGAATCGATTACTTTCACTCTAAATTGTAATACCATTTTTTTTCCAAATTTATTATTTAATTATATAATATAAAAGCGTATGTTCATCTAAATTAAAAAAAGAGTTTTTAATATCAATAAGTTGGTGTTTATTTATTTATTTGTTTTTGATAAGAAGAAACTAACAAAATTAAGATTTTTAACCTGTAATCTAATGGGTCTTCGCGTATATCTTTTATATGGTATTAAATAACATAAGATTAAGGCGCCCTTAAATAATTTTTGCAACCGCCCCAAAAGAGCTGCCAGTACGGGCCTGTATGTATAATAGACTATAATCATTGAATAAATAAATTTTAAATCAATAACCCCTTAAAATTATGTATTGCAACAATTCTGTATAATATATAGGACACAAACACTAAAATACAAAAATATAATAGAAATATACATTTTTATGACAGATATTATATTATAATATATAATTATTTTACAATTTCTAAATAATATGAAGTAGTTCTCCAATAATGTCCCTGACCCATTAACCTATATGTATGAAAAATTAAACTTTAATATACATCATGCTATATTCATAAGAATGAAGCCCAAATACAAACATAACTTATCTTATTTTTTAAATCGTTAAAACTAGGAAAAAATGTGAGTGATATTAAAATTATAGCTTACAGCGAATTATATATTTTTACTGTGAATTTGCCAACAAAATATTATCAGAACTATTTTATACAATGAGCGACATAGCCCATTAACGACTTCGTCGAAATTATTATAGCAATCACGGTATTTGTAGAGATTTTGTATTTTATTCAAGAATATAATAATATTTAATGGATATATCCTAAAGAGAATAATCTCTTTACACTATGTCTGAGTGATACAAATATATTGCAACAAGTTGTTCCTTTATGAATCATGATAAAGGATGCACAATGTGTATTACACATTATAAAATATACCTGGCCATCTATATAATAATAAACTTGTATATTATAGTCTACAGATTATAAACAATAGTTAATACGATAAATATATTGGTTTTACTATCATTGATAAGAGGCAACCTATTTATTTTTTTATTTCATTATATAACATACTATTTTTGAATCTTTATTCCAATTTAAAATTTAATTTAGTTTTTTTTAAATACTATATGCGACTAATGGCTATCATTTTATCATGATTTACAACAACAAATGTCAAAAACCACATAAATTTTATTTTTTAAATATTTAATAAAACCATATTAATAGCTATCAACTATTTTAGAATAAAAACTATTATATAGTAGCTTTATTATTAATAAAAATAAAATAAAAAATTATAAGCGATTGAATTTTGAATTAAGAATAATAAAATTAATCGTTTCAAAAATAGGTATAACAAATTATAATTCATTTTACATAGGTATAAATAATTAATAAAAATTAATTAACAAAGACACTGCCTATTCATTGAAATTTATTTATAATTTTTTATAATTTTAGTATGTTTAATATATATTCCGGTATGATAAATTTAATAAATAAAAAATAAAACTGATGTAAAATTAAGTTATTTCAACAAATTTATGCATGCGTTATGCAAGATGTACCAAAAGAATTTTAAAGTTATGATAGAAGATAGATAAATAAAATTAACAAGTATCAGTAACATCACATGAATTAAACAAGTATATTTGTTTACAATTGTATTTATATTTACTTACAAATATCTTTTAACTAGTATAACTTAAACATGACATATATATGTTATTATTTCACGTATTAATTGAATTGATTAAGATGAATGCAATTAAAACTAACTTGGGTATGGTAGAAGTTTATATCTTAATAGATGGCGTCTCAAACAATTATAAAAACAAATAATATGCATAAAACATATATAAGTATAGTAATTCTGTATATTCGTTGTTAGGTTTCCACAAACCATTTATTAAAATTTAAAACTATAAATTTCCACAATTCGCTATATATTTTTGGAATTCGTTCAAAATTCAACTTATTTAAAAAAAAAATTAGTTTATCAATAACAAATTAAGTAATTATAAATCAATATTTTACAATTTTTAAAAATCAACTATTTTTAAACATTTAAAATTATGTATTATATAATATATATTAATATATTTATATATAATTAAATTATATAATACATTTTTACAACTATCTCCAATCCCTCTCTCAAAAAAAATATAAAAAATAATAATAATTCAACGTTATGAACTTCATTAATAAATTATTTTAAAAAAAGCTATAGTAATAATTAAGTTATTAAGAAAAACAAATTGTTTTTTAACAATTATTATTATTTTTTTGGATAGATTATCTAGTTTACATTTTGTCACCAGCTGGAATAAATGCTACTTAGATTAATTATTGAATAAAATTGACATCTTAGCATAAAAGTATTTTTATTTTTTTTTTTTTTTTTCATAGAAATTACTTACATTGTCGGCTGAAGACTATTTTGATCTTAGTCATTATAATTTTACACTAAAAATCATAAATTATTATTAAGTACTAAAAAAATACACCGTAAACCATTAAATTATTTATTTTTACTTACAATTAAACCAAATAATAAACTAAATTTTCTAACTTTCTAAGTCAAACTTTTAAGTATTTACCTACCTAGATACCATCGCAGCGTCACAAAATATTATATTAATAATAATAATTATCATAACCTACATATTATTATTTAGTGTTCAAATCATATACGAGTAAGTTTCCTATAACAATCATGTCACGTTATGTAATTCTCGGAAGTAGGTAGGTGCATATGCGGTCGTGCGGTGTATACTGATAACCGATAATATATTTCATTAAATTCTCCTTACAGTTTTTTTCACCAAGCTTAGCAAAATTAAAGATCTAAAATTATTTTACGTCAAAGACCTTCTATCCATTATTGTGTAGAACTCATCACGTACAAGACAATGTAAAATGTCATGGGTAAATGGGTTGTAACATTATTATAATGTGCAATTCGTATTACCTATAGCCTATAAGCTATTATATTTCAGCTATGATGTGAATAGATAACTGCGAATATCCATCTATAATACAACAAGTAGATTTTTGTTATTTATTAATATCAACACACAGTTATAAGCAGGTAATAAATAGATATAAGTACAATATACAAACGTGTTAGACGAGGAGTGCCTATATAATAGTGAGTATTGAGTGCGTAAATAAGTACTTTAACAACCATCTTATATAAATATTGACGAGTCATAATAAATAATAATTTATGTTATTTACTGTAGCTGAAATATTATACGATTTTGTATAAAGCCAATGCACCTACACATACGTAAATCATAATACCAACTACTTGAGTAGATAATAACGTCCGCAATTAATGTTACTTACTATAATATTGCATACAGCTATTTACACGTACGCCATGTATACCTACGTATTAACTATTATTATTATTATTTATCACCATTAACTATTCACCAATTAGTTTCAGTTAAAGCCAGCCTATTCTGTCAAACGGGATTACTTGGAACTATTTTAAAATCTAATTGAAATTACGGTAAATCAATAATAACTATAGTCAAATCATGTTATCAAGTTACAAAAAAACGGGTCTTACTTAATTTTCTAAGAATTTATCAAATTTAAATAAAAAGGTACCATATTTAGTTCATGTCTTTCTATTTTTGTGATTGACCCAAGCTACTGTATGGCCTATAATATTCCATGGTGTCTAAGTCTAACTTGGGTAAATCATATTTTTGCAATCATTTTATAAAATAAAATTTTTGACTATTAAGAACTATCGTCTACCATCTGTCATCAATAAAAACTTACAGTTTTTAATATAAATATGTTAAGTACATGTTTAAAACGTAATAAGAAAACATCAAAACACCTTACAAAAAATTATACTATCATTATAACAATAATCCTGGTTTTAAACTTACAATTAAACATGATAGCGCGCAAACCACGAAAAACAAAATCTATTTTTTTTTTGCCCCAAGTTTATCAGTTTAATGATAGTAGGTAAGTAATATTTTTGAGTTTCAAATTTCTTATAAAAATCTAAACATAAAGAATAAAACACCTGTATTTAAAAAAAAAAGAGAGAAGATTTAAAACGTGTAGATAGGTACAAACTTTAATTTACATTAAACTATTTAAAATGTTTCCTGTCTAGAAACTTAATTCATAAGAGGATATTTTTCTTCGCGTGACGCATTGTAGACCACATTATTTATAATATGCAGGTAGTTATAACAGCAGGTGCATGTTAGTTATATAATATTCATAGTTTTTAGAGTGAATATTTCAACATTCGAAAAACTTCTCCAAGTTAGCTACGTATTTACTACTAATACTACTGCAATATTTGTATCACTTCTCAAACAATTGAAATATTCATAAAAAAAACTGGTAGGTAGACCAAACTATAACTTATAAATACTTACCTGACTACCTGGCTGGCTATCTACGTATAAATTACAGTATTATATAATACATAATAATATATCATGTATATATATGTGTGTGTGTGTGTTATTAACATAAACTAAAGAGAAACCTTGAATACAATTTTTCTATCATCGCTTAATCTGATAACGTGTTACTGCAATATTGAACAATTGGAATTCTAATGGAAGCAGATAAAAAACACGGTTTAAAATCACTTTCGTGACTATTATTCCGACGATTGACCAGTAATCTGCCACGATATGCAATTCAAGTAACAAATTTTATCGCAGTAATTAAATTATAAAATGACATAATATATCGTATTTCATTCAAAAATACGAATTATTTGTCACACTTGTAAGAACTTTGTCGCATTCGATAAGTTAAAAATAATATTGCATGCGATAAAATATATCATGAATTCGAGAATCGGTCGCTAGAAATACTTCCGTGGCGCCATTACGTGGTAAACATAATAAGGTCAGTATAATATTATTATGTACTAATGTACTACCTAATCATTTGTTTCACTTACCCCAATATTAGATAACATATTCGAACAAAATACCAATGATCATTAGAATAATTTTATAATTAATTATATTATTATTGTTTATAATTTTTTTAATTTTAAGTTTTAGTGTTATTTGTATACCGGCTGTTTACTGATTTCCTCTGAACTATAAAGCATGTACAATTCCATTTAGTTTGAAAAGAGTATTATAATTTATATTATTATAATGAAGCTAATAACTCGTAAAATCATAGTTTGTCAATAAATAAATACCTACTTAACCTTTGAAATTTGAAATCTGAAGGTACCAATTTAATAATTTTCTATTTTAAACTTCAAAGGTTTTCAGTAGTCGATTTAATCTCTTCACAATATTTTTTATTAAATTAATTAATTTCAAGAGCTTTATAAAGGATAATAAGTAATAACATTATGTAGATAATTAACTTGTAATTCTTTATTTATTCGATATAACGATTTATCAATTTCTAAACGTTTTCAAACCCAATAATTCAAGTGATTTCTAGGAAAATCATATCGTATATCTATTATCTGTACATTATTTTCGTGTATTTTTTCAAGTGGTAGCATTTAAGTAGGTTTAGTTAGTCTATAATAGATTATAATTTCAATATTAGTAATCTACTAACGTTAAATATAATTTGGGAGTTTCGCAATAAGGTCAACGTCAATTTGTTTTCTGTAATATTGAAAAAATATATGGCGACTAGTGAGTAGTGAGAAGCCTTTTTTTATTTTCATAAAGTAAAGTGTCATAATAATGAACTTCTGGGTACCAAAAATAAACTCACTATTAAATAAGAACACCTCTTACAATGGCCTAAAAATTGTATATTACTAATTTAAAAATTATTAATACAAAATTTGGTTAATATATCTTTTATCTACTTATCTTTCTTATCTCTTTAAAATGATTATAGTATAGGTACAAATGCTAATATAATATATTATGCATTTGTATACTATTGCATTGTCATATGACTCATATATATTTAATTTAAGATGTCTAAAATAAATCACTTTAAGGTTTTTCATAGTAAGATGGTTTTTGAAAGTGCAGAAAGTGGTTTTTATATGCACTATACAATCAAGTATTTTTAAATCAGTCCCTTTAAAAATATGGAAAATTTACGCCTACAGATATAAAACGAAAAAACAATTAAATACTAAATAATAAATACAATAAATACAATATAATATACAATAAACAAAATATAAATAACTCAAGCCTCATTCACTGATAGTGATTATTGTTTTTAGAAAATTAAATAAGATTATCATTTATTAAAATAGTGATCGATAGGTACCAATTTAATATAATTAAATCTTTCAATTTTTTTATTTAAATAAACGTCAAAAATGTTTAAGATTGTTCATGCACATTTTATTTTTGTTCAATCCTTTATATACCTACTCACAGTGGCGGCGCGAAATTGTGGAGGCTTTGAAGCATATTGTATATTTTAAATATTTTTACCACCACCCTTAATAAGTAGCAGTGGCCAAAGAGCTTTCAAACATGAAGCAATTGCTTCAAATAATCCTATATCCCGCCGCCACTGCCTACTCATATATTATGTTATAGAGTTACGTGTTAAAATATATTATTTTGTTTTCAATTATCTACAAATTTCAGTTAAAGTTAGAAGTACCTAGGTAATATACAAGCTGGTCATATTAATAACAAGCCATAAAAAAGTTCAGCTGAGTCGATATCTGACGCAATCGATAAGTTACTTTTACAGGTAAAACAATAATTTCCGCGGCTTCGACATTCGCTAACGCAGCATTATTATTATTATTATACCTAAGTGTTTACAGTAGTCAGTAATACTTAGAATTATCATGTTGTAGAATTGTTCATATATTTTTTAGTTAAGTCCGAAAGTGAGATAGAAACTCGTTTCGATTAGGTTTCGTTAAAGATTAAGAATATCAAATATGCTATTTTCATTTTGCACAAGTAAGAGATTTTGAAGATAATATTGTTTAATTTTTTTTTACCATTCTTTGTTTCTTTTTATATTTGTCGATGGAAATGTATAATTTTGTTTTATGCTCTTAGATTGCATTTTATATGCCTATGGTTTACGCTTTATTATTATTTTTTTTTTTTTTACATCAAATGCATACTACAATATTCTTTAGAATTTATTTTGACATTTTTGTAGCATTATCAGCATATTTTTAAGGGCACATTTCGTAGTTTTTTAGAGCATTTTATATTTTTATAAATCCTAACCCTAGCATAATATTACATTAATATTATAACTAATCATAAATAAATATTTATTATAATGTAGTGGCCTCTATACGATAAAGTGTAAAATAATATATTCCAAAAAACAGTCATTGTGAATAATGTGAATGATAATTTATGATATTTTTCAATCTCAAATTTTTGAACTAGGAAATCGGACAAAGAAGCCGAAACCAACTACGATTACTATTTGGCCTCCGTTCGCGCGCGTCTTACGTAATACGTTGTAACATATTTTTATTATTATTATTATTATTATTATTATTGTTGTTGTTGTTGTTATCGTCGTCGTTATCATTTTTATTTATCAAGCGATTGCGACTGATGACTAGTCAGTACTCGGCGTTATGCTATCAGTCTAATATTATTATTAATTATTTTACGTACTTTAAATAATCATAATAAATAATAATAGTAATAATATAATAATGGGTTTATTGTTACCACTATTTACTCGTTGTTGTCGCCGTTGTCGGCAGTCGGTACGCACGTACTGACGAGATGCGTCTCTCACAGCGCTATTATTACTTGTCGACGTCGGTGTGTGGATTAAACGATTCGTCAGCGGGCACTCTACTTCACCCACACGACACGATTAAGATAATGTTGTCTGACCAGTAAAATGTCTAAGACCGTTTTCGATACGCGCAGTTTGTCTGAAAATCAGTCGTTGTTTCGTTAAAATTTACACACTAGAGACAAATTGTGACCGTATACCGTGGACCACCAATTCGTAGGTAGGTAGCCCGCCGTCCAGTGTTATAGGTAGTGATTATAACGTTACTGTTTTGATCATATTAATTAGCAACCGATAATTTTAATCTCGCTTTTCCCTTCATGCCCTTGGCTATCGAGTAGTACTAGTAATGGCATTTTTTTCTTTTTTTTAATACATGATATTGATTGCAAATATTAATTATTAATAATTGTTATAATTTATTTATTGTAATATGATCGATATTATATTTAATTATAAATCTATAATAGGTACTTAAATGTGTTCTTTGTTTATAATGTTATTATTATAAGGCTACTAGCAAAATTCAGACTTTTGAACAGTAGTGATTATACTATCTATACCACAGACTAACATACAAACCCATAAATATTATTTCGTGATCTCTACTTATACTCATTGTTTGTCTAGTATTACTATGTGACTACAGAGCTTTGTACTTGCTGTTGTGTTCAACTCTTTGTGTTGATATTTTACCTTATTACTTTAATAAAATTTATTAATTTCAAATTTTACTTTAACATATGTTTTAGAATTTCACTCAAAATGTTTTCGGAAACAATGTTTGTGTATGCAGCTTCTGCAATAGTTGTTCTATTTACTGCTGTGTATTTATATTATAGAAATATTTATAGCTTCTGGAAAAAAATGGGAGTGTATCATTTGGAACCAACTTTTTTTTTTGGCAATGCCAAAGATCGTGTTCTTTTTAAAAAATCATTCCATGAGTTTCACAGAGACTTGTACTTCAAGTTCAAAGGACATAGATATGCTGGTTAGTACCCTTATCTAACTTTAAATTACATATTTTACTTAATTTCTTATTATCAACACAGAAATTATAATTTATCTAGAGTGAATTCCGCTTAATAAAATCAACCTTTTATAGAATCAAAAAAGAATTATCCTAACCTAATCGAATTTTTCGATTGTTGGAGTAAATTTTTTTTAGAATAATTGTGTAAATTTAAATTAAATTATTACTTAATCACTTTTATGTACATTTTATTGATCTAATGCTTTATTAATAGGTATGATCAATATACAATTAAATTGTATTTTTAAGTTTACCAAATGATTATTGTACATCGTGTCTTTAGGTAAAGTAAATTGTTCAAATATTTTTCTGACATCTTAAGCAAAAAAAAAGATTTTCTCATTTGTTTTGATGTGTTAAAAAATGCATTTACTCAGAAATTCAAGACATGTATGTTGAATGCAAAATTGTTAGTTATATTTATTTACTTAAATTGTTTTTTTTTTTTTTTTATGTTATTTTAAGCATAGGTAAGTACATATTAATAAAGTATTATTATAAAAATAAAATAAAATGTTTAATGGAATCGTTCAATTAATAAAATCTAAATGAATAGCACCAATCTGTTCATATTAACTGGAACTCACTGCATTATTTTAACATAACAATTAGACATCAAATATATAAAATTTCTAACTCCTATATAAAAATAATTTGTTTCCTTTTTTTTAAGGATATTATCTTGGACGCCGAGCATCATTAGTCATTCTTGACCCAGAAATTATCAAATGTATTATGATTAAAGATTTTAATCATTTTACGGACCGTCAAACAATGAAATTTCGAACATCAGAATATATTACTGAAATGTTGATTAATCTTAAAGGTTCTAAATGGAAACGAATGAGAGGTCAATTAACACCAGCGTTTACTTCAGGCAAACTTAGAACTATGGAGCATCTCGTAGATATTTGTTGTAACAATATGAGTGAATTTTTAAATGAAAATATCAAAAGTGGTAATTATAAACACATAGCTTTAATTTATTAAATGTGTATTCAAAGTATATGGTAATCTAATGTAAAAATTAAAGTTACTTGGTAGTTTATAATAATATTTGAACATTTATTTTATCATATAATAAATTAAATTTATATTTTGTCTATATTTCAATAATGACTAAGGAATTGTATTTCCAAGTGCTTACATATTAATATGTGGACCTTTTTTAATTTTTTACTTAAGTATTAAATATCTATAGGCTATCCAGTTATTGTATTATAGATATCAATTAAACAAAAAAATTATATCGCTTAAGCCATAACTTTCTTTTTTAAATTTGATAATAGTAAATTATTAATTAATTTCTTTATTTATTGAAGTATTCACCATATAGATATAACATATCTAGTAGTAATGATTTTTTTGATTCTAATAAAATTTAAAGTCCATCTTAATATTAAAATATTAATTATTTTAACATTTAATAATATAATACAATTTAATTTTATGTAAATTTGGTTTGCAGAACATGGTTATGAATTGGAAATGAAAGATTTTTTTGGCAAATTCACCTTGGATGTTATTGCTACTTGTGCATTTGGAGTAGAATCAAATTCATTGAAAGATGAAAATGGTGGTTTTGCTAGTCGTGTATCTAAATTTGCTAGCTTGAGTATTATAAAACGTCTATCCCTCTACATAGTACTACTCTTTATGCCTGGTATTGCTCGATTTGTGCCTTTATCTTTTTTTAACATGGAAGTGATACAATTCTTAGCTAATGTGATCAAAGAAGCAAAAAAATGCAGACAATCCACCGGACAAAAGTATGTACATTGTCATTAATGCTTTTTAAACCTAAAATATGATTACAAAATATATAACTAATGATTAAAATTTGTGAGTTAGTGCATTTAGATATCAATCTTGCTAAATTATATTTAATGCTAGATGACATAGATATCCATTTTGAAATACTATAATTAAGTTGTGAAGTTTTCGTTTTTTTTTTCATAGTTATAGGTTTTTTGACCAAAATTTAATGAAAACTGCAATAATTTATATTCTTACTCTGTATAAAACATGGGAATTGTTGCAACCGTAAAATTATTAAAACTAAAATGCATTACCTAATCATTATTTTCATTTGATTAATCAGTTTATCATACCCGCATTAAACAATTAATGGAAAACATGTTATATGAAATAACCTAGTCTTCTTGATACATTTACAATGGTTTATTTCCGACTATTCCAGTCTTTCTTTTATTTAATCTGCATATTTTTAGATTTTTAGTGTATAAGTATATACTTATTAAGGCAATTTTTAGGGCATGAACTTGGAACCCTACTAATGATTAGTCATATTTATTTGTAAAATTATTATTACTTAATTAAAATTAATAACAACACATTTTTTAATATAAAGGCCCTTTTTAGTATTAATTAATTTACCTAATATTAATTGGTATTATTAATTAAATTGTTTATAATGTATTAAAAGGATGCATACCTGTCTACACGCATATTCTGTCTTTTGTAAACATAGTACATTTTCATTTAGCAGAATCCATTTTATGTTGTAAACTTTAATATTATAGTAAATTTATCTTGTATAAAACTTAATGGTAAACATCTCATCAGGTTTTATTAATTTTATAATTTTGAAATGAGTAATCATTTTAATATTTTACATAACTATAATTCACCTAAAAATGTTATCATTAAAAACCTAAGAGGTGACCTTGATTACATTCTTATTCTTACTTTTAAGTTTTATAATAAGTAACTTATTTTTATACTCAAGTTAACAGCATAAAATCGGTTCTACTGAAACTAAATTTATAATGTTTTATATTTATAACTTATAAGATAAAGATAAGACATGCGAGTGTAGCATCCTCTCGATTATTATAAATTAAATTTTTAACTTATTTTATATAAAAAATATAAACAATAATGATGTAATAAATTATTTCTGTTTATTATTTAAATGTTAGAAACATCTACTAAAATAGAATTACTTTTTTATTATTTTCTATTCCTTTTTTTTTTTAAGGCGGAACGATTTCTTGCAGTTATTACTGGATAGTGAAACTGATTTGGATAAAAATGACAAAAACAAATCAAAAGATGGTAAATTGATTTTTAAATTTGTATTAGTTACTATGCTTGATTTAAAAAAATAAAATGTTATCAACTCAATTATTTTTCCTTAAAATTATTATGATCTATAAATATCAATTATTAAGAATATGCGAATTATGGTTGATTTCAGATGCATTGACTGAAGCTCAAGTGGTTGCTCAATCTGTATTGTTTTTGATTGCTGGGTTTGAAACATCAAGTACATTGTTGACTTTTACATGTTATGAATTGGCAATAAATAAAGATATACAGATTAAATTAAGAGAAGAAATATGTTCAGTCTTAAAACGACATAATGGCAAATGCTCATTTGAAGCCATGCAAGAAATGCCTTTGTTAGATATGGTATTGATGGGTATGTATCATGCAAGCAGGTATTAATAAAATTTTAATCAGAAAAAAAAAATTAGTCATATTTATTCTTTTAAAAAAATAATAATTATTCTTTATACCTATATAGAAACCTTGAGAATGCATCCACCTGTCGCACAATTAGAACGTGTCAGTACTCAAGATTATACAATCCCTGATTCCAACTTATTAGTGAAAAAAGGTATGACTGTTCAAATACCTGTCATCGGATTACACTATGATCCAGAATATTATCCAGATCCTTATAAATTTGAACCAAATCGGTTTTCGCCTGAAGAGAAAGCTAAACGTTCACATTATGTATTTTTACCATTTGGAACTGGACCAAGAAATTGCATTGGTATGTGTATTGAATAAATGTTTTCATTAACAAACTCATTAAACCTGTAATAAAAATGTTTTTTTAGGTTTAAGATTTGCTTTAATGAGTACAAAGAGAGGAATGGTGCATCTCTTAAAAGACTTTTCAATTGATCTGAGTAATCAAATGACTGTGCCTTATGAATACAGCAAAAATTCAATGTTACTCAAGGCAAAGGATGGTATTAGGCTGTCATTAAATAAGTTAAATGCATAGTAAAAACGGTTTGGCCAACTACTTAATATTTAACATATTTATGGGCTGTGTTAAATTTATCAGTTAATTTCTCAGTTTTATCTTTTGATATTTTAAATGATTTTAAAATGTGAAGTATTTATACTTTTTTTTTTAATTAGATTTTATTTTTATACATTTATTAATGGTTTTTAATAATTTTTTTTTTTTTTTTTGTTTATATAAGTTAATTTTATATTATTTTAATACTATTAAATATTATGTTTTATTATTCAGACTTGGTGAGTTTAAAAAGTATTTTAAAGAAATAATTGTGATCCATAGTTAGAAGTTAAGATAAAAACATTAGAACTCCTTGTTTTAAATTATTTCAGAGACTATTTAGAATCAATATAAAATTAAAACGGATTGTTAATTTGTTTAAATTTAGTCAAGCTTTTGTATCAATCCACTGTTCAATTTATGTATAAGTATTAACATTAACATTAGTAATAAATTTTCATTCAATTAGAAATAAAAAAAAAATAGTCATTTAAAAACTAAACGTTCAATAAGAATCAAAGAGTAATTTTTTTGTACAGTCACTTCAACTTACAGTAAATAATAAAATAGTTTATTTTGATTATACATTTATGCTAGTGATATCACTATAATAAAAAAATACCAAAAGGTGTCATTACTAACAGCTATTTATCAAAACTAAGGTTCAAAATATTAGGTGATAAGCTTTTATTATAATATATTTTATAAAATCTATAAATCTATTACAAATTAAGTTCACAGAGAAGAAATATTAATTATACACAATGCAGTGGTATTATGTGATGGGAATGTTTATTTAACATTTATTCCACCCATTTTATAAACTAGAATGGCAACCCTAAATCGTCATTCTAAGCATTATAGTAAAGAAAATATTTTCATTATAATTATGAAATTAACAGCTGAATAGATGATCAAAATGTTTATCTTAATTGTAAGATACTATACTAATAAATATTACACATAAACTAAGTATTATTATATTAGATATTTATTTGATTTTAATAATACTCATTTTCTTTAAAATTCTGAATAATGTTTGTAGTGATATAGTCACTTTTAAATTGAAAAATATTTTCTTACTATTTTGCTACTAGTCACAAAAAATTATGTAAAATTGTTTTCTTACATCCATGCATTAACTCATTCCACATAAACAATTACTAACTTGGGAGGGTAGATAATGAGAATTGGAATAATTTGTGACAAGTGATTAAAAAAAAAAAAGATTATTATCATGGCTGAATGAATTTATAACAGTACAGGTAATCACCATAAATGATATTATTACTTTACTTTAAATATCAGGTTGCAAAAGTTATAATATAAACTAAAATATATCCTTTCATAATCTCCCTTTAAACCCTAAATTTACTTAAGAAAATATCAGATAAAAGTAATTTGAGTCAAAAAACATAAACATTGTTTTTAGTAGATACCAAATAAGAACATTTTAGTACTGCTCAAGTATGCAGACTATAAATGCGTGCATTTTACAATCATATATTATGTAAATAGCATATCCAAATATCAATACAAAAACAATTATTTAATATAATATATGTACATCTACTGAATAATAAATTTGATCATTACAGACTACAATACATGACTAGAATTTTTTTTTCAATTTTTTTCATTATTCAAGGTATTTATTTATATTCAAATTGTGTATTATAAGATATAAATTTTAACAAAAATTAATCTATATGTTATTATTTAGACTGTATATCCGAACAGAAACCAATATTTTTATATTATGTAATAAAAACCATTTTATTCATAAATAGGCTATCTATATAATGTTTGGTACACTTTCAAAGAGGAGCTGTATCACAAATTGAATAAGACAGACTTGTTAAGAAAAAATACGATTCCAACATATTTTAGTAATACCTACACATTGTCGTCTACATGAAAAAACCTTCTATGTGATAAATTTTGTAATTTTCTTGAATTCAGGACAAAAATAAGCAATAATTCGATAATATTTTCTTCTATATGTATGTTTGGCAAAAAACATAAACTATTAAAAGTTGCCTGCTATTTAGTTTAAATTAAATTGAATATAGCTTTGAAATTTTAAATTTCTTTAAATCATTAATATTTTTCTATGTGATAAAAAATCAGATTTAAAAAAATAGAAGGTTTGTGATTCAACCACAATATATTTCTTAATATCATAATAACAGTGAGTTGATTTGTTCTCATTCACATGTGTGTAAAAGTATTAAAAATACATTAGCACAATGTAAACTTGTAAAAATCATGAACATAATTAACTACAAGTATTTTGTTATTTAAAAAAAAAATAAAATACTTCAAAAAATTTAAAAAAATGTTGTTTTATTTCAACTAAAAATTAAGTAAAAATACAATGAGTATTTTTTGATAAAGAAATCATACAGTATATAAAAAGAATATAAAAGTATGTGTTCACAATTTAAGTTTTAATAAGGATGTTATTGCTTATTGTATAATATAATTTATTTTCAATTTAACATATTAAAACAATTTTATTAAATAAATAAGTAAAACAGACCACTCGCCACATAAATTGCCAGTAAAATACAGTTTATTATTCAATAAATTGTATAAATTTATAAAAAGGAAAATACATATATTATGCAATATAAAATAACAATTATTACATTTTAAGAAATTTTAAGGATACACTATAATATGTATAAGTACATGGTATGAACTTAATAATAATACACAAATCTCAATATACACCATAAGTACTAACTAATTAGAAAGTTACTTTTTAAATAACTTTTTAACTTAACTAGTTAATTTTAATGTATATTGTATATTAACTTAGTAACTTAACTAGTTGAATTAAATGTGTAAAATAATCTAATCTAACTCATTAAGACCAATAAGTAACTAGTTATTTTCACAGTTTTTTTTTCAAATTATAATGTATTAATAAATGATTTTATTGAGTATTTTTTAAACTAAACAAGTTACAGTTATTTTTATCCATACAATACATTGTTTGCAAATGTATTTTTTCGACACTTTGATCTTGAATGCAATTTTGAACTGGATTTGAGGAAGCAATATGAATTATAGTAGCATAATCTGGCATTATCCATTGTTTACACGATTTGCAACGACCAACCACATTAAAATACATCCATAGTGAACGAGGTATGTCTTGTCTCTTCAACCGTGGAAGATTATCCATCATACTTAAAAATACAATATGACTTAATTGTTTTACTTTAACTTGACGTTCAATATCATCTGACTTATTCATATGCTTAATATATAAAAATAAGTGATCAGCTTTTAGAGGATTTATGATATGAAAACAGTTATTTGATATGTCGACATGTTTTAACTGTGGCTCAGTTAAGGGCATAGGATAGTATGATAATGCATTATTAGATACATATAGATATTTGAGATTTCTCAAATTTTCCATAAACAGAGGTAAAAATACCTGAAAAAAAAACAAATATTTAAATTTATTGAGTAAACAAAATAAAGCATTGTTTATTTCATAATAATAATAAATAATGAAAATCATAATTCATTATTTGAGACTTATATTCATGACTCTTTCAGAATTATTTATAATTGCCTGTTTGTTTATAGTATATGAAATGTTTAAGTGGTTTGAATATTGATTTTAACAACAAATTTAAATACCAAATCTTATTTTTCATACTTATAGGATAATTGTAAATCAGTTCATAAATGCATTAAATATTCCATTATTAATTGTTTAAATAAATAAATAAAATTACATTGTTTTACAAGCATATAAAATACTTTAAATACTAATATTTAGATTTAGCAGTTTTAGTTCGTTTTGTTTGTCTAAATATTAGTGAGAATTGACCTACTATAAAACTTAAAAGTAAAAACAAAAGCTGTGTTCTCCTGTTGGATTTTTTAATTTTTATGTAAATTATGAGTGCATAAAATATTAAAATTACTATATAGTTAACTAGATAACTAGCTTAATAATAGGAAAGTAGATCAATTCACTCTAATATTTAAACTATTTAAAACTAGAACTGCTGAATCTAAATACTAGTATGTTATACATTAGTAAAACAAAAACAACACATGCAAATATAAATTGATTATGTTCAATTTACTGATACACTGGTGAATGAAATAAGAAAAGAAAATGATAACTTATGCATATTTAAATGCATACTTAGTAAAATAGATATTAGTTATAAATAGTAATAAAATTATTAAATTACCAATTTATTATTACATACTGATAAAGTATGTAGATTTTCCAGGTACATAATTTCAAATGGCAATACTCTCAGGCCGATGTTATCCATTTTTAAAGTTTTTAAAGTAAAACAAATCGGTACTTTAGTTGTCCAATTCCAGAATATATCTTGTTCATATTGTGAAGTTGGTAGATTATTACCCGATATGCTAAGATATTCAATGAATAAATTACCAATTCCTTCAGGAATTATTGATAAATTACAGCCTTCCAACACAACTTTATTCAAATAAACTAACCTCCTTTCAAAGTTGTTAAAATAATTTGTACCTATAAACTCGCTAGAATTTGGATCAAAATTATTCATATCGTCATCATCATCAGGTACTATCTCAGGCATTTGATCTATACCGACATTAATATGTTTCCCAACAATAATGTTTTCTAATTGTTTGTAAAATGTATAAAGTATCTTCTTGTCTTTGCATTGTATGAACAGTATTTCTTTGGGACTTTTAAACTCCAACTGCAATTTCTTCACTTGAAGGAAGTCGTAGTTCACGTTTCTCAACATCGCCAAGTTATAGGTTTTACCATTAGGGTAGTTCGAGTTCTTTATACACAGATAGTAATCATTGTTTATTTGTTTTGTCAACAAAAACGACGAGAAAAACATTTTGGATGGTAGCGGAAAATTTGTATGGACAAAAATCATACAATGGAATAACATTGTAATTATTGACACAACAGACACGTTCACTGTTATTCAAAAACGAAGAATATAAATTATACTGCCAAACACTATTTCACATTAAATACGAATTAGTATTAGAATTCTATTAACAACAGCAAATTGAATTGTATAAACGCGGTATTAATAATATTAGCAGACGACAATGTACACAGGAAAACCAATTAAATTTTACTTCAAAAACGTTAAGGTACTATGCACTAAACCTACTCCTTATGTCACTGTAAAATGTGAGGTTAGGTTGAATTAAACGATAATTTATTTCAGTGTGTCACTGTAGTCAGATAAAAATTAGCCGCCAATGCGAATGCTTCCAATGGTATATTTCTATAACGACTTCACATAATAATGATAAAAACTACACGAATTTTAAATTTTAAATGTATTTACATTTTATATTAACCTATTTATGCAATATAAATAAATAACCTAGATAGAAATATAATCATTGTCATTTAATAAAAAATGTATTATAATGTATGTACAAGTCAGATTATGGTACAAACGTTGTATACTGATCACTGCTTCCAGTAACTCAGATTGAGAGCCCCTGTTAATCGAAAGAAATTGTTACTATCATATTTGACTGCAGCCAATCTTCATTCTCCCACCATAAATAATAAAAGAATGAATAAACCATTAGGCCTTATCGCAAGGGCGTGAACATTATATTACTTTGAAATTATAAGAAGTTTTATAAATTAAAAAAATGTCAAAATTGAATAAATTAAAACGTCATTAACCAACAAATAATAATAACTGTTTAATGAGTTTATTACTGTTCAGATCTCATTAATCGTTATTTATAATTTATTTCAGTAATATTAATATAATTTACAGACAACATTATATTTCATTCAGTGCCGGATTAAGAGAATTGGCGACCCTAGGCCCGTATAAAATAGCACCCTTAAAAATAAATTTTTGTTTATCAATAAGTAATAAAAACTTTTTCCCCTAATAAACCAATAAAAAAATTTCGTATTTTTGCCACTTGTACTAGTCGTCATAGACAGCGTCCTTTATGTAATTTAAAATTAAAGCGCCGATAGGTCCGGGCCTACTTAGCCTATACGTTAATCCGCCACTGAACTCATTGTTTTATAATATTTATAAGTTTATCACCAATGTAGAAATGATGAATTGTCTGTATTATCTTTAGAAGACACAGGACAAACAATACAAGCTTGAATCATATCGAAAAATCAAGATTAAAAAATAAATAAATTAATTAAATTAATTAATACTTAATTCAGTTAAATTATAAATTATTAAATAAAAACCTCTAAAATATTTGTTATCATCATAGATTCATAGATATCGGTTATCATTGTGAAATAAAATAAATGATAAAACCCTTTACTAAAGTGAGAACACTATATAAATAAAAGCAGTCTGTCTCTAATCCACATTCCAGCCCGCAAACCTTTATGTTGTTAATATAGGAATAACCTAACCATTCTTTTATTATCTATGGCATAACCTTATGAGCGTCTCATTGCAGCATCAAACGTGTCAGTTTTCAATGTGCGTTCAACTACATTAATAAGTAGTGGAAGTGGTACCATATACCACCATTATGCGGATTTTTATTTTTTAAATAATAAAATAAAAGTAAAGTTCTATAGCATACAATTAATATTATATAAGCTTAAAAATATTCATAGTAGAAAAAATATTAACAAATCTACAAAAACAGTTTAAACACATGTAAATTGAGGCAAAAGTTTATTTAAATTTGTGAATCTAAGAAAAATCTGGTTAATAGCCACGAATACTTTATTAATTTAGAATAAATTATTTTCAAATTCAAAACATTGAAGGAAGGCAATTAAAAAATATTTTTATTTTTGACATGGATTATATAATTTAAAATCGAAGGTTATTTAAAAAAAAGTACTTTTTATATAAATTATCAACGTAAAAGATTGATATAAAAATTATTTATTACTCCTCAAAATGTATCTTAATTTAATTCTCAATAAATTGTAAAATAAATATTTTGTTGAATATCGTATAAAAAATAGTTACAATTGCACGTAAAGGTATCAAATAAAACATAACTAAGGCATTTATAAATTTTCTGTTAAAATTATTTTCATAGGTATATATTTTAATTATAGGTCGCAACCCATAAATTGGGAAACACTGCTATAGTATAATAATATTATACTTCATTTTATTCAAAAATTTAAAAAATGCAACTAATAGTACTAAACAGTGGCGCCACCGCTACCGTCGCCTGATAGTTTAATTGCTCGCACATCGGAAATCAATCTACGTTCAGTGATGAGCAAAGCTCGTATAACCTCAGTCCTCAGGTAGACGGGTTAGTTCACATTATGAACTTGTCAAGTTCATTTCGAACTTTCATATTCGTCTCCGCTTTGTCTGTTTATCGAAGGTTCACAGGTAATATTTATAATATAATATTGTTCTACAATTGAGACGTTGACGTTATTATGTAAACCCACAATTCGGTGAATTAGATTATTTTATTATTAACTATAACCATGCGTAGCGATATTTTTGATATTACACTCAAAGGAAAATATGTTGTTGTCTTTGTGCATATTTGTTTTGTAATAACCATTAAAAGAACGCTACATTCACACCTGTTGTTTCCGTCTTACGAACATACAACATAGAAATTTTACATTCAGCAGACTCAATAATGCTGTTTAACTATATTAAAGTGAATTGATCTATTATCAAAGATATATATATATATATATATATTATCTGCGCTTTAACATTTGCGCTTTTTTCAATATTTTTTCTTTTATTCATAATACTCATATCTAGCTTAAAAATTAAATTATTGAAAGAAACCAATCTTTAAACATAGATAATATTCTTACCTTTAATTTTGATAATAACCCATTTCACTTTAAAATTTAAGTTAACAACATGCATAGTTCTGCTGAGCACAAATTACCGGTTTTGTAAATTTGTATGAGAGAGACAACAAACAACATATGTGGATGTAGCGTCCTCTTAACTATAAATAATAGAAAAAAAATATTGATAGTAAGTATGATATTTGATTCTCGTGATAGGTATTAACAGTTTATTTCTTTTTTCAAGATTTTTAGGAAAATCTACTAAAAAAGATAAATTTATTTTTGAAAATATTACTTACAAAAGTAGGCAAAAATATTGATGTTGATTCAAGGCTAATTCATCCACACAATTCTAAGAAAGAAATTAATATGCAGTAAGTAATAATTAATAAAATCAATTTATCACAAGCTTAAAATTGTATACTTAATTATTACAGGACATTAATTAAAGTACAAAATGATTCGGTAATTCCTAGTGTTTTTAAAGACACTAAGACTCAATTAAGTTCAGTTCGTTTAGCAAATTGGAATATTCCATCTGGATTAAAAAAATGTTACTTGTCTGAAAATAAAGAATTTAATGAGTAATATAAATTTTATTAAATCTGTATTTTAAAATTAGTTAAGTTTAATAATTTTGATCATTTTAAATTATTATAAAACCTACTTTAAATATATTTTATCATTCAATATCAAATTTAATTATAAATATAGGTGTGTTTTAGCATCTGCCATTATTTTGTAGTACAGGTCCTAAAATTAGTGTCTGGCCCTAAGAGTCCATATTTTTACTGATGAAATAATATGAAATATTCTCATGTCTTATTAAACAATAATTGTTTCATAATATTACAATTATTGTAATATTACTAACATATTTGTTTGTTGAATGTTGTGTACTTTATCATGTTTACTTCTTAACCAATATTAATTTACTTCAAGCTTTTTAGAGTTTTTTGTCTATAAGGATTTAAAAATTCTAAAAGGTCCATTATCCACTTACAGAATATAATATACAGATCTAATGATAATATTTAAGTTAAACATAAGTAGATTTTACGAATCAGCTCCTGTAATTTAATAATGATAAAATTACTTATTGAAGTTAATTTATTAAGCAATATTGACAAATTATTGTTTTTACTCTTTAACCTAGAAACATATCAACTGAAGTTAAAAGTAAAATTCAAAAGTTTTATCCGGTTGCTTTTGAAATTCTTACTTACCAAAATTATAAATCAAAATATCATACTCTTTTGTTCATGGACGAAATAGAAGTAAGTTTGCTTAATCAATTTTTTATAAACATCAAAAATATGTTATCAACAATTAACTATATTATAACTATGTATAGTACCATAATTTATAATATAAAATTAATTAATCTTACAGAATAGTTTTTTATAAATATAAAAGTCATATTTATTATGGTATATGCTCTAAAGTTAGCAATTACAATTACAATTGTAATTCAATAATAAAGGCATTTTCTCGAACTGGGGACCCGAATCATCTTATGATTTTAATTTCAACAGGAAATATAACAAAAAACATCATATACTCAGAAGTCTTATAAAATTCTTATTTTAATTCTTTTTTTTTCTTTTTTTTTCTTCAACTTCAATAAAGTTCTTTATCAACCATAAATTATTTCTTTTTTATCTTTATTATTTTTATCATTTATAACGCTAGAAAAATTTCAATCCGTTTTCATTAACCGTTTTTTATATTTACTTGCCGATCACATTAAACAATAATATTTGAATAAAAAATTCTACATATCATGGTCCGAAGGCAAAATAAAAAACCAATCACGGGTGAAGCTGTGACGGGTCGGCTAGTTATTACATATAACATATATTAGTTATTAAAATAATTTATTTATTATAAGTATTTAACTACTATAATTTATAATGGTATATATTTACAACATCTTTTGACTTAATACTACTTTAGTGGCTCACTATATAAAAAGTTTAAACAAATTTATGGAATAAATATGTAATATTTTGAAAATTTCATTAGATATATTAAGATTCAAAATAATTGTAAAATAAAAAATAATGTTTTTAATTTATAACTAAATAATTTACATCATTATTTGTTGTTTAAATAAGTGATATCGTTCAAATCATACATTTTAGATAGGATTTTGTAGTAATTTTTTTTAAAATTTTGACAGCAAATAATTTTTATCAACATGAAAAAAAAATTTGAATATGTTAATTTAATCATTTGACATAAATTTAAATTTCTGTTTTAGTTTTTTTTTTTTTTTTTGAGATACAATAAAATATTAAAAATCATTTGAAAATAAATAATTATTTTACAGTATAGTATTCAATATTATAAAAATTTTAATTAAATTTTAATTGACTGAACAGTAGAATTTTTTTTTATAGTTTAAATTAAATTATTATTTATTATTTCTAGATGATGGCGTCTCTTCAAAAATATGCACAAAAAAAAATACGTTTTGAACGTTCAGGTGAATATCTAATTCTAAAAATACCAAATCTTTCTGGGCAACGACCTTCATTAATTGCTGGTGATAAAGCTGTGGTTACAGATTCACCAAACTGTACTAAAAAACTGGGTAAATAAATTATTAAACAGAATAGTACCTATTGGTGAAATTTATATTTGATAGTAAAAATTATAAATAGAATATTTTGGTCCTTGTGTTTTCTTACACTGTTGGCTTGTATCATTGATTAAGTAAACAAAAGTATAATAATGTATATTTAATCAATGGTAGTACTAAGTGATTTTACTACACTAAGTAAATTCCAAAATCATACATTATTTTAATTATTTTATTACATAAAACTTTTGAGTCATTACAAATGATAGTTTTTTATTAGAAATTTTACATTTTAATTGATATTATTTAAGATAATTAATTTGAAACTAGGTGAAAATGGATCCTTTGAAGGCACAATTCATAAGGTTTTAGTAGATGAAATATGGTTGAAGTTCGATCAAGAATTTCACAATATTTGTGGTCATTGGAATTATAGTGTGCATTTTTCCCATGCTAGAATAATGTATCAAATACAACATGAAGTAATCAATGAAATGTGGAAAAAGAACAGACTTGGCGAATCATTCTTGTTTCCATGTAGGGATTTCTCAGAATACCAGCCATTAAAATCGAAGGTTCTAAGTCATGATATGCCAAACACTAACAACAATTATGAGGATAATTCAAAAAAAAATAACAATACTATGTTATCATCACCAAAAGTTGTGCAAAATATCAGATGGTTTAATAATAAATTAAACTTAAAACAAAAAAGTGCTGTCATAAATATTCTGAAAGGTGAAGGGAGACCAATGCCGTACATTATTCATGGACCTCCTGGCACTGGTAAAACAATAACATTAATAGAAAGTATCATTCAAGTATACAAAGAATTTCCTGAAAGCAAGTTAGTATTTTAAATTCTTTATAATTTTAACTTATTGCAAACATAATTGTAATACAGTAAATATTAGTGAACAATAATCCAACCTTAGTAGCTTAAAAGCTCTGAAAAGCAATGTTTGAATATTTCTATCAAATAAGAATTGTATTAACTATTTCTTATTGAGATAAATTGTAATAATAACATTAAAGTAAAAAATAAAAATATATTTTATTCGCAAACAGTAAAAAATTTGGTTGTGCTACTGCTGCTAAACAAACATTGCTCTAACCTAACTGTTTTTTATTTTAGATAATGGATAGTAAACTTTTAATATTTACCACAAGATTTTAAGTTTAATTTTTTTTAGGTTATTAATTTGTGCTCCAACCAATTCTACTGTTAACATTTTACTATCTAAACTTGTAAATTCTGGTTTATTTAATAACACTATTATGAAGCGTTTAGTTACCTATAATCATTTTATTAGTTCATCGTATAACATGGATTATGATGAATATTGTGTTTTATCTGAACTCGAATGTTATAATACTGGTGAATCAGGTAATAGAAAATAATTATGTATTTGATAATAAATAATGATTAATGTTAATACTTGTATATTAAGAATGTTTTACATTAAACTAATCAGTTTAGAGATTAAATTTAACAATATTATGAAAATAACTACAATAATTTAAATACATATGTTTTCAGATACTAGGTTAATTAAAAAAGAAGCTATTCTCAAGTTACGAATAGTTTTGTCTACTGAAGGCATTACTGGATTACTGTTTATGATGGGCTTTAAAAATGGAATCTTTACTCATCTATTTATAGACGGAGCGGAACAATTTACTGAACCAGAAATGTTATTACCACTTTGTAAGTATTTAATAATTCAGATTTTTTTCAAAGATTTTCACTGTCGAAAATGATTTTATAGCACTTTTCAATCCATACCAAGGTGGGCAAGTCATATTGGCTGGAGATCCCAAGCAATTGGGGCCTGTTGTTATGTCAATATTAGCAAAAGACTCGGGTCTGGAACTATCCATGTTGTCTCGTCTTATTAATTACCCACCATACCTAAAAGATATTAGCAGGTTTCCAATACATAATGGTTATAACCCAAAACTTACTATACACTTATTTCAAAACTATCGAGCTTTGTCAGATATTGTATGGCAATACAATCGACTATTTTATAAATTTTCATTAATGCCAACTGTAAGTAATAATAACAAATTTAGATAATAATAATATTTAAATAATTTTCACACTTTAAATATTAATAATTATAGATAATACATGATTTAAATAATAACGCACCGGAAAAAAATATTACTAAACAAATTGAATAAAAACGTTCACTGGAATATAGATTGCAATGGACCAGTTATGGTCCATGGTATTGATGGCGAAGATTTCCAAGATTTCAAAAGTTATTCATGGTTTAATCCTCGCGAAGCCTTCCAAGTCTTATTTTACTTTACAAAATTAATAAATTCAGGAATATCTGCTGATGACATTGGAATTATCACTCAATACTCTGCTCAAGTAAATAATAGCATTTTTAATTTTATGCAAACCTTTGTTATTATTTTATTTTTATGTGTGTGATTTAGGTCTCTAAAATTAATGAATTACTGAAAATGAACCATCCAGATATTACATTACCGAAAGCAGGCACGGTAGAAATGTTTCAAGGTCGAGAGAGAATGATTATCATCATATCCATAGTTAGGAGTAAGAACTCAGCTGGACGAGACAAGATTAATAAATTTCCCCATTGTTTTCTTGTTGATAAAGAACGCACAAATGTCGCAATATCCAGGGCAAAAGCCTTGCTCATAATAATTGGAGATCCATCAACAATACTTACAAACAAGTATTGGAAGAATGTATTGTACCATTCAATTTATACTCATAACTATACTGGGTGTATTGTTAAAAAAATAGTTTTCAGAAGTTAAATCATTCTCAATGTTTTACAATTTAAATAGTATTGTTAAACTGTATTTTTTTATTCAAATTAATAATTTGAATTATTTTATTTTATTAATATATATTGAATTTTATAACTAATACTAATAAATAATAATATATCATTTTATATTTTTAACTTATATTCTATTAATCTTTATGGATACAAATTAAACAAACTACAATTAACTTTGTAACAAATGAATCAAAATGTTAATAGTTAAAAAATTAATATTTAGTGATTTTAATTAATTTAAAAATGATTATTTATTCAGGGTATGTTTATAAATTAACTTGAAGCATTTGTCTACTATGTAGGTTTAGATTGAACTCTGTTTACTTATACTGAAATTTGGTGGGTATGTTATAAGTGATTGCTGGATACAAAGCACTTAAAAACCACTAAGCTAGAATAGATAGTGTTCTGTTATATTACATACAAAATGTCAAGTGTATGGTATATATTGTAAAAAAAAATCTAAATTCAATTAATATTATTTAATATGTCAGATGAATTTCAAATTTTTCGATTTTTATGTACTGAAATATTCCAAGAAATATCCTGTTTCAAAATATTAAATTAAAATAAATGTTGTCCATCAAAAAAAAAAAAAAAATATAATCCATTACAATAAAAATATTAAAAACATAATTTTTTAAAAAAATGTTTTATTTTGTGTGTAAATTAAATAAGAAAAAAATTTTAATTGATTTTGAAATAGTGAGTGTTATTTAATTAAAAAAACATCCTCTATATTAAATACTAGACTCATATTACATCTATTTTATACCATTTTTAAAAGGAAATTTAAAAAAGTATATTGTAGGTATTTTTTCCTTATAAGTACCTATATTCTACATAGTTTTTTATATTTTCTAAAATAATATAATAGTAATAATAATTAATAACTGTGTAATACCCATAAAATTTACAAATTAATTATTTTTTTTGTTTCATTTTTATGCATTATATTATATTTTGTAATGTTAAATTGGTACTTTGTAATAAAAATTTTTTTTTGTGTACTAATAAAATTAACTGTCTTTATTATAATAAAAGCAAATTGATATTTTTTTTTAATTTCTCCTAGTGAATTACCTATTCCAGTGGTTGCCAACCAGTGGCCCACGGTAAAAATTTGGTGGTCCATTGAAAAGTTTAAACATTATTTGTAATATTGTGTTTATAATCATAATATACAAAAGTATTAAACTAATACTTACGTATCCAATATTCATTTTAACTTTTATTTATTTATTTTTTTGTAATCAATGATAGTAAAACCAATTTAAATAATTTTATTGTAAACAAAAATACCTTTAGTAAATAGTTTATAAAATATGCGTTAATTTAATTTTTTTTTTAATTTGGTATTAAGACTTATGAATATAAGTGGTCCGTAGAATTTAGAGTTATGAATTTAGTGGTCTTTGAAGTTCAAAAGGTTAATGATCGTTACCCTATTCTACAGATTGCCAATTTGTTGTTTGTCATTTTATGAAATGCCTAGTTATTATACAAAACATTTAGGAAATGTATGTAAAAAAAATAAAAATTATACAGTTCTTTAAAAATCACCAGGTATTGTACAGAATTTCTAGACATTTTATATATTAAATATATTAGACACATTGCCGCTAACATATACAAGTAAATAAGAATATTTTTTTCATATAATCACAAATTAAAAATATTTAAATGAGAAGTTTTAAAATATATAATCTTAAATTGCTTAACAAATCCTAGAAATATTTTTCCTCACTTTAGTTGTCTCTATAAATTCATTAACAATATCTTCAATATTTATTTTTACTTATCTTATTTATGTATAATTAATAATACTACATCATTAAGTCGTGTTTCGTCGTTATTGACCTTAAAAATGTTTTTAAATGTCAAAGGGCAGAAAAATAACACTCTGCTGTACACAATGAAACTGGTACGGTTAAAATAATTTTAATTAATTTAATCACTACTGGTACCAAATCTTACAAATACATCTCTTGTTTTAAAAATTCAACTTTTTTGCTTTTGTAATATCTAACATGATATTTCAATGTAATTCTAATTTTGCACCATCAAAATCAGAGATCTAGTATTCAATTATATATTATATAATTCTTTCAGAATTCAAAACTTCTATTCTCTCAAAAATAAATATTATAGTTTTCAACACAAAATTAAAATCAAATTTATAAAGTTCCTAATTTTGAAAACCCACTAATCTTAGCACCTGTTTCATGTAATAAAATTAATAATAACTTATTATATATAATTTTTACTACCCACAGTAAGTCAAAATTAATTAAAAAATATCTAACCTAACTGTGGCTATTAAATAATCTTACCTTCGTGAGATTTGAACCTTTGAAGGCTTTATTTCAAGCAGAAAACTCTTCATCTAGAAATGCATTTTTAGAATTTTGATCAGGTACAGATAAAATAGGAAGATCAATTTTATTTTTCATTGGCAGTTTTACAAAACAAACAGAACGCTTTTTCTTTCACAGAATCCTATTATAATCACGGATATAATAATTGTAACCATTTTTCCTGAAACTTCCTTGATTTTCCAAGTTCAACTGGTTTTTTTTTTTTTGAATCTCCACTATTAGATTCAATGTTTAAGCCAGAAGTAAAACTGTTAATATAGCCTTGTTAGGATAATCTGTTTCTTTAACTGAGTTTTTTACTAACCACTTATCCATCTTGATGTTTTTAAATAGGTACTTATATAAGATAACTGAACTGAACAATAATTCAAATAATGTTATAAAACTTTCATTATTACCAAAACGCGTACAACAGATTGACGCACTGAGCGGCAGACCGACTGACCGAACACGGACTAATTACTATTTAGTATTTACTACAGAGTATAGACTGAGTGCAGAGCACAGAGTACAGACAGCTGCTATTATGATATACATATATTATTATTTATTATTAATGTGAATTCTAAATATAAGACGTTATCATCGCAATCGTTGTAGACTACAGCACGATCAAAATAACAAAAAAAAAACCCATTACATATATATATATATATATATATATGTATATATTAATTATAAATGATTATTTCTACTAGTATAATATTATATTTATATTTTTTATTTATTTCATAGTGCTCGACAGAATTGTGCAAAATTTTATCTAGATAATAATTCGAATAAATATGTATTCGAATAAAAAATTATTCGACTAGGTTTCAAAGATAGTTATTCGAATAATTTTCGATTTTTATTTATTTATTTACATTTTTGTTATTATTATTTAATAATTTAATATTATTTATTATTGTTTTAATTATTACGAAATATTATTATTAATTATTAACTATTAAATGTTATTCATGTTATATTATTGATAAATTATTATTATTATTATTAAAATATGATTAAAACAATAAACATATCTAATCCTTTCTTCTATTGATATATAATTGTTTTATTTATAATATTTTTGGATTTATTCCGAATAAAATACGATTTACAATGGTGTAACTTAAAATATAATGCCGGTTATTGTTTTTAATGTGTTTTTTTTTTAATTATCAACCATGTTTATTTAAATAAATTAACCAAAAATTATTTTTCTTTGAAACTTTATTTGAAATTTGGTCTAATAATATTTTATTCGGATAAAACGTTAGGTATTTAAATAATCATCTAGATAAAATGTCATTCGAATAACGCCCTACTCTGGTACTGGATCACCGCAGCACCCTATGAAATAGTCAGCGCTAATGTCTACATTATTTTTAATAAATCAGAAATTGTGTATGTTCGAATTTAAATAAGTAAATCAAAATTATTTTCGAAAAATTTATGTTTTGTTCATAACTAAATTATATTTATTATTCATACATTTCTTTGTAGGTAAACACTAAACACATATTTTTATTTGAATGACAACTGTTAATGAAATCATGAAGTGTGAAAACTTTTAACAGCTTTTAAATGTTCCGTTTATGGTCTACGTAAATATTGTGTATGTCGTAAAGCATTTTCAAATTAGTTAATGCCGGAAAAATAATTATTCTGGTATAAATGTCATTAATTATTAAATAAGGTTCGCCAGTATTTTGTTAATATTTCCATATTATTTATGGCATTATGTGTTTCTCAGAAACTTATGGCAATCTTGGGCGAATGGTGAATACTATTGTAGGTATTTATTATATTTTGTTTGATAAGAATTACATCTATAATAATGTTAAAGGTGGAAATCACTTTTTCTTATTTTTGTATGAATAATTAATTTAACTAATTTTGTCGAAATGTCAAGGATTGTTTTTCTTCTTCATACATTATTAAATTGTTGTGTACCTAGGTATTCAATGTTTCTTCTATTTGGAACTCAGTTTACCAGCTACGGGACCAATCACCTAGGTTTATAGAGCTGTGAATTTGTAGGAAAGTGTATTTTTTTTTTTTTTTTGGCAATTGTTAAACGTGTCTTTGTAAGTATATAATTTGAATTATGTAACAACTAATCCATTTATGAAACTTTTATTTTGCATTTTTTGAATTTTGAATTTTTTAGGTCATATTTTCTTTTTTTTAGTTCATTTTACGATATTTTTAATAAAATTCCGACAGTTAACATTTTCAAAAACATAATTATTAACAAAATGAATACATAAAAAAAAAATTTGAAAAATGTTTTAGGCGAATAGAATTATACAAAATTCAAATTCAATTAACATTTTTAATATATATATATATATATTTGTGATTTAATAAACACATTTTTATGAATTTAAAGTGTAATATACTAAATTTATAATATCCTGCAATATCAATATAATTATAAAAATTAATCAAAAACCATTTTAAATGTATTTTATACTATAATTTTTAGCATTTTATATTGCATTTTTTAAAGTTTTTTTAGTGCATTAAATTTACAGTTCTATTTATAGCTATTATAATAATATATATATCATAATATATCTTTAAATACGAGTAAGTATATAAATCTAACCGATTATCGAATTCAATTCAATAACGATTTGGTACATAATTTGTATTTTTTAATTGAATTCTAATATTATAGTATACATATTTTATATACAATATACTTTATAATGCACCTACCTACCTACCTCATTGCTCATTTAGTTCAATCTCTAATATTATTAATGTTAGTGTAAAATTAATCAATTCATAAATACTACTGTGTTGTATTTTAAAATTAGTTAATGATTTTAAGTAGGTAAGCATTGATAATTGCTTAAAAGTGTTTAAAGTACCTAATTAAGTCTTCGAGTGAGAAAGTACTTAAAAATTAAAAAGCATTAGAATGTTTTTTTGAAATATTTTACAAGATTAAAGAAGTAACATGACAATCATAAATAGAATGTTAGTGAAATATATGTTAAATAAAAAATTGTTTTAATTAAATATAGGTTTAGTAGTTTCTTAATACCTAGTTACTTAATGTAATTTTATGCATGACTACCTCTAAAACTTTCTTTCATAGTTCACAGCATTAACTGTTTCAAATACTAATTTTTGTAAAGGATGATTTCTCGTGTACTAGTTTGAAGAAAAATATAACTCAATGCTTGTAACTAAAGTGTTTAAATAAACATCTTTTTATGAACCACTTTTTCGTTAATGTGTATAAGAGAAATTTTTATAACGCTATTGTCTATTGGCAGGGCTCTAATATTTATTCTCTAACAAATTAGTGACTTATATTGGTTAAGTCATGGCATAAATCATACCATGGTAGCTGAAAATAATAAGTTTTGTGTATTTATATCTTTGATAAGTTTATTTTTTTATTACACTATTGTCTATAATATATTTTATTATTATAAATTAACTTAACTTGTATACAATATTTAAAATATAAATATAAAAAAATATCAAAAAAATGAATTTTTATTTTAATATCTATATGTAAACTTTTTTCCTGTATAGGTGAGAAATTAATAGACAAAAAAGCCAAATAAAGGATATGGCTGCATCATAACCTCTCGTAGGCAAGCCATTGGTCGACTACACACAACGCGATAGCGATCGCCAACAGTAATATTATCAAGTCTGACAAGAATGTCGAAGCAAGTTGACTATCTGTGCTGGTTGTCTGTATCTTGTGCAACTCATCCACTTTGAGCAGCACTATCCGTTGACCTATTTCCGGCCATATTGGAGACTTCGCGCGCAATTCTTCTTCCACGATGTTCAAATCTGTTTTTTCTGATTTTGTAAACAAATGTTATGCATATAATTTATAATAATAATAAAATTAATTATTTTTTTAAATATTTTATTTGTAACTCACTGAAACTCTCATATTTCACCATTTTTCGGAACGAGAAGCCGTCCCCACCTTCTGATAGATAATTACTAATAATTATTGTGTAATTTGCATTTAAATTCAATTTCTCATATAGCGGCACAGCACAATTTCCACATCTGGCGTAAATGGATTGCACACGCTTGCCACTGGGCTGTCCAAGATCTATTACGACCTTCAATCCTATTAAATGATTTAAAAAAATGAGTATTAGAGTGATTAGTTTACTGAGCATTAGTTTGTATTTTGTTGCAAATACATAATACATTTTTTTTTTATTTACAACATTTATCACAGCGTATAAATAGATTATCATTTATGATGAACAGATCGAATTGTCATGTATGCGTTCTAAAAACGAAGATACAATATAAAAAGGTAAAAGATTTTTTTATTTCCACCGATCTGTTCGTTTACCTGAAGCTTGAAGAAATTCACCATTTGCTACCGTTGTACTGTACCGTCGAACGGAGTATTCAAAAGCTGTCCAAATGTCTGAACCCGTAGTCGTAATTTTACCTACATCATCTTGAAACGGCATCGATGACAGCAAATCGCCAAAAGTGATGTTACCTTAAATATATACAAAGATCACTAACAATATTTTGATTTGATACGATTTAACCAAGTACCTACGTTTTAATTAATATACTTCTATTTTATTTTTATGTATAGCTTACCTCTTTTATTTAAATTATTCATGTTTGTCCGTATACCACCAGCTTGTAATAACGCTATCGGCGCGTCGGTCCAGTATTTGTTCAAGTCAAACGATTTGATATTATTTCGAATATTCTGTATGCGATCCGTTTTTTATTTATTTATTAATATTTTCATCACATTTTATCCTAATAATTTCACTATTTTTTATTACTCACATAATCTATGAAAGAGTCCGTAATGAAATTTCCCAGGTTACATTCTCTGAACCTGCAGTATTCGTTGACACCTTCTAAAAATACACTTGTCGAACCAATCACTTGTTTAGTCTTCTCCTCGATCATTTTTCTCATACTTTTTACTTCGTTTAATAGTTTGGGATCTAAAACAATACAAAATAAATCAGTGATTCCTAAATTTTTAATCTTACTTGCTCACTAAAAAAAAAATCCAAAACACCCCCTCCCGTAAAGAAAAAATGTTGGTACAAAAGTATGCAATGAAAAATTAATTTATTGTTTATAAATAAGTATATGTTTTATTATAATACTGTACATCGGTAATCCAATATTTGTAGGTAACTGAATAAAACCATGACGTCAGTGGTCTAATACTGTCTAATTACTGACACATGTCAGTATTATTTATATGAAGCACCAGCACCTGTTACTTACTATGTGGAACATCAAAAAACAAGTGTAAAAATATAACTACGAATTTTCCATTTTTTTTTTTTATATTACATATTAGAATTTGCAAAATTTGTTTTTTTAGGCTTTCGGAAAACGAAAATAAAAAACTAGTGCTGAAATGGAAACTCAATTTTAATGTAAACAAAATTTGCAGGTAAATATATTTTTTTATAATAAAAAGAGTGCCTACTACATATTGTAGCAATTTTATCGTACTTGTTACATCATTTTTTGAGTTATTAAGAGTGTAAAGCATAACATACCTATCATAATATAGAGATGTATTACTAAAGTTTTAATGCTCTATTTTATTTTTATTTAAACAAAACTTTTAATTCACACTAAGATTTTCCACAACTCCACACAATGTTCAAAAATGACTTGTATGTAATTGTAAATATTGAATTCGATAAATATATTTTTATTTTTACTAACTAGAGTAAGTTGAAATGCTTTTTGAAAGATTTTGTAACTTTGTAATATCAAATACTCTTTCACCTCGATAAGCCATACTAGAGTTCAAATGTATTTTATAACATTATTATGTAAAATATAATGGTAATTATACCTTGTTCAATATTGGAATCTAATAAAATCGGATTCCCAAAACTTCTGATAACTTCACCGGCTTCGTCGAACTCCATCCATAATTTACCCAAATATTTTGTAATGTAAAATGCATGAACAACCGGCACTTTTCTGTTGGTGTTTGGTTGATTCACCCAAATAGGATAAGGACCAACAGGCTTATCGATGTCTGGTGGATTTCCTTTGAAAAAAAATAATCGATTTGAATTATTATAATTTATAATATTATTATCATTTTAACCAAATACAATAGCCAACAGGCAATATATAAAAATAGGTTCACTTTTATGATATTGTAAATATTTCGCTATAAATTATATAATTTAGGATATTTTATAATTTTATTTTGATTATGTATGATAATAATATATGATACACTTACGTAGTGGTACCTATTGTCAAAACTTCCGGATAATACAATTTGCATATTATAGCAAATTAACTGTAAAATAAGTATTCCTAATCCAAAATATTGTGTAAATATTTTAGTTAAATTTTTTAATGTAATTTCCCGCATGTTGTTATTTACTCAACTAAGAAATTTTTCATAATTTGATAATAGCTATTTTATAAAGTTACTTATCGATGTTATTAAATCTAAATTGTTTTGAAATCAATTGATTTTTAAATTAATATAAATTTTTAAAATACAACGTATTGTAAGTATAATTTTACGATTTTTACATTTTTTAGTAGATGTAGATTATACTTTAAGAAAATTGCAATAAATTGGGATTACTGACTTTTTAATTAATTAGCAAAATACTGTGTAAGTATATTATTATTATTATTTTTACAACAAAAAGTGTTAAGCATGTTTACCTGTGTACAAAAACGAATGTGAATGACCACCAATTACTAAATCGATGTCCTCAACATCTCTGGCTATCTGTGTATCCATTTCTAAACCAGAATGTCCAAGTGCTATAAGAATATCCACACCATCGTTTTTCAAACGTTTCGCCTCAGCCACAATCGACGGAATTTCCGGCAATATTTTCACGTTGCCCACTCGTGTTATAACCTTAAAAATAAATGTTTTAATCAAACGCCTGACTGAGAATTTTCACATCCATTAATTTTAAATGTCTGATGATTTCGCTACTTGTACATCGTAAATTAACGAATTCAAATGTAATAATTATACAATAATGTAATCTGATACAAATATTTTATTTTTATTTCTCGGATAGTAATAAATAAAATATTCATCCTAATTCTTAGTACAAAACAATATGATAGACAAGATGGTACATATATCTTAATGTTGAACTATTTCAACTCACGAGTCACGACAAGAGTAACTGCTTATGTATTGTAATTATATTTTGTAGGTATACTTCGATAAAATACACAGAGCAAATAAGAACCAATATGAATGAACAACAATATAGAATATAGATACATTCTAACATTTTTAACACTATCCTCGAATAGCGGCTTAGATACAGGACACATTCCAACAGGCCTTACACATCCTTCAAAAATATTTAAAAAATCAACCATAAGTTCCACAGAACTTTTACCATTTACGCTCTACGTTTCAAATATCTTAACGAAAATAGTGAGAGAAAATTATTATCATATCCGAGTTTACAAATAGACAATCAAACAGCATAACCTCCCATTTAGTTCAGTCTCTCTAGATATCATTTTATTTTCAACAGAATAATTCATTTGAAGTACATGTATAGTGTACGCTCTCTCTCATTATTATTAGTATAGCAACTAGCAACTTAAAACCAAAATGGATTACACAAAGAAAAAAAATAATTATTATTATTACTTTCAATAAAAATATTAAAATGAAAATAATGAAACATTGTTAAAATTGCTATAAGTGAAAATATCAATAACACTGAAAAACCATTTACAAATTACCTAAGTACCTATTATTGAATCAGACATAGGCATATTAAATACCAAACCAAAATACTTAATAGCACACAACTATCTCTGACGACCTTTAATAAGTTCAACACAATAAATACATATTAATTAAAATAATATAGAAGTATAGAACATGTAGTTTATTCTTCATAATTTAATATACGTAAATACATAGTACTAGTTGAAATAACCATTTAGACATAAACAAACATAGATAACAATAAATTACTTAATTATAAAAAAAAAACACAATACACCCAGTTTATATGTTATATTTTCGATAGAAATATACTGATATAGAATTTAAAACATTCAGGCAATATATAAAGTGCTATACAAATACAAATTCAACTATAGTAACGAATTGCAACGGGAAATAATACAAAGTATACAATTTTAAATATTTAATAAAATAGAAATTTTATAATACAAATAAAACCGAAAATAAATGAATAAATCTTTATTTTATTGATGTACCTACTCGTATTAATATAAATGTAATTTAAAAAAAAAATGTGCCATTTGATGGGAAATGTGGGCTATATGTCCAAATAAATGTAATTAAAATGACGATAAAAAAATATAAATATATTAAAACTATTGATTTATCAGAACTTTTAAACCACTTGGTAGCATGATAACCAACTAGTCAATGTACTGAAATACTATGGTTTTGATACTTATATATATTCTGAAAATATTGAAGTAGACAATATCAACGGCCTAGGATTTAGCCCTACTTCAATAATATTATACCACATAAATAGCAAGACTCAGTGATATTTAGACACATTAATAAAAAAAAAATACAAAATAAAATAAAATTCCAAAATGAATAATACACACAGAAAATTATATATCAATACACAATGTAAAATATAGATTCAAATTAGAATAAATATGAAAAATATGATTGAGTTCAAAAAGAGCCACCTTTAATAAACACAATAATATTACACTCGAACGAGAAAAAATATATGCTAATGAAATAACGTTAATAAATTAGGTAATAATCATACATCTATAATCTAAAAATGTCAGTTCTATTTTGAATAATTAATTATAATAAAATGTAATATGTATCTAAATCATTTTCGTTTTTAATTAATAATAACAATTAGAACTATTATTTTGAAATTGTTTCATAATTTTTATCTGTTCAAAGCTCCATACTCTATTAATATTAAAACATTTACATTTTACAGTTAAATCCGTGTTTTAATCAAGATTTTTAAAGCATACAATTTGTGCTTTGTTATCATAACTATTATTCTTACGAAATCAAGAACTTCATTATTTTTAACTTGATGAAATTTTACTTTATATCAATTAACTTTTTTTTTTGCTCTCAACAACAAAAAATGACTATTTTAGAAATTTAAAAATTTAACTGCATAAAATTTCGTTATAATTTTTGAAAAAAAAATTTGAAACTTATGCCATTTAAATAAAAGCTTTTACTTATCATAATGAAAAAAACATATTTAAATATTGTGATTTTCTACGGAGATATACGAGACTACTATATAGGATTCTTTACAAAATATAGTATTGAAAATAAATAATGTATACTATTTAATTGAACTTGTCCTATACAATAAGTTCATCAAGAATTTACATTTATATTTACATTTACATTAGACGATTTGTAACCATACTTAAAAAAAAAAAACAAAAAAGACTCAAACTATAATTAATAACATAACTAAATTGGTTAATAACCACTGCACAGTTATATAAAATACATTACAATATCCATTATGTCTATATTCAAAACTATACTAAACATAACTATTATAGTAAGCATTTGTAAAAATACGAGTATAATGTAGATACAAAACAAGATTTATTAATTCATTACATATAACGATTTTGGTACCTGCCACCAGATAAAACATCAGGTAAATGTATATGTCATTAATACTACTTAAAACGTAGATTACTGCACTATGTCACTACAGCAAATAAAATGAAAAAAACTCCTAATGCTCGAACTACTTAAAAAAACAGAAATTTATCAGATAAAATACCAACCATAGCAGAGTTTTTAACAAAATATATAACACAATCGTCCATTGACGAACCACGAACGGTTAGAAACGAATGTTTTTAAAACTCATACAAATATAGGTGTGACTCTGTATGCGAAATAATATTATATATATATATATCATAATATATGGTACCTTATTTCAAGGGTATTCTTGTTGTATGCGGTCTACCTCACGTTTCTTCATGTCATATGCGGTCTACCGCACACTTGCTGTCTACCACACATGTTTTTGTACGTCATATCAGTGGCGTAGCAAAAAAATTTAGGCTCCCCCGAAAAAATAAAAAATGGTAACCCTATAACCAAAGGCCCCAAATTATTATGTTCTCCCCCGCAGCGCGGGGTCTGCGGACCCTCAATTACGCCACTGCGTCATATGCGGTCTTTAACATACTTTTTATACCTTCGTAATATTTGGCTAACATAATGTTAAAAAGTGCAGTAAATAAACTGAAGAACATTGGATCACGTAGGTATTACAGCACAAATTGAACGTTTACGACTACAGTCACGATTTTGGCAGGACCCAAGTTTTATTATAGCAGGTATTTTATTATTGATATAGAAAATATAAATCACATCGTTAAGATAAAACTTAATCGTCATTGCCGTCGAATCGTTGAAAGTTATCATCAGTAGATAAAAAGTGTGTGGACGTGTGGTAGACCGCATATGTTATATAGGAAAATGTGTGGTAGATGATAAGTGTGCGGTAGACCGCATACGACAAGAATACCATTTCAAGAGTATTTGGCACACAATACATAAATAAATTAAACCAAACCCTAAAAACCGTCAGTCAGTCGTCAGTGTTCTCTTGACACTCCTTTATTTTTAACAAAATAATTCGCTTAACGTTTCTACATGTATACTGCACACTTTCTATTTTATTTCATTTTGTAGGTTCTTAGGTATTTTTTTTTATTTTCACGGAATACTAAAACTACTTGAATACAAGATTAAAGTGTCCATCCTTTTAATATATATTATTATTGAAGTTGTAAATCAATAGTAAAAGCAACAATAAGATACTATCTTAAAGATAAGTTTCTATTCACTTAAGTATATAACTATATTGGAACAATATCAAAACAGTAGAAGAATGCCTGATACACAGCATGACGGATAGACAGACTATTATTATTACCTTAATGCCTTTTTTGAACCAGACTGATAGTTAATAGTCGTATGTTTATTATTTCCTGTAGATTGTTTTCCCTCTTATATTCATATAATATTTAATACGCACATTAAGAACCAAAGGAAGTTAATCATATTTCCACCAAATCCGATTCTGCTTAAATCACACTTGAAAAACCATTAGAATTCCAATATAATCTATTATACTGCAATTTGTTTGCAAGCAGTTTCTATACTTTTTGTCAATTAATTTTATTATACAGACTACAGATCCTATTATAAATGTGTTCTACAGTATATAATACATTTAATAAATATTAATGTTAAAATAAGTATAAAAAATACAAAACTGAATAAATACATACATGTTTTATTAATTAAATCATTATTACTATCAACGAAAATAATTTGATACAAGTTTTAATCAAACAGTGATCGATATCGTGAAATATTTATTTGTACCGATTTGTATGCAAAATTATATTTATATTTCATTATTAAAATCCTTAGTTTTCCACGTTTACTAGTTAAAAATTATATTTAAAAATATATATTTTATAAATTCACAATAAGGTTAATTTACACGGTATGTGCGTCATATGAAACCATTAGGTTAAATGTGCTTGTCAATGTATACAGTTTACCTAATCATATAAAAATTTTACAATACGTGTTATAATTTATTATTTTTATATTTAGTAATCAAAAGTATTAGATATCTGCCTAATTGATTTTTTGTAAACGAGAAACGAACATTTTTACATTATGGCAAAATTAATTGTTGAGGAAAACGAAAATCTATGTTTTAGAGGAAACAATACGTGCTTTTAAAAACTTTTCATTTAAATCTTTCATCCACTAATCAGTGTCAGATATATTTCCTGTTTATCCGTACAGACGGTTATAATTATGACTTTAAACAATTATTTTTTTCAATGTTTTAAAGAATAAATTGTATTAATTTACCGAAAAATAATTGTGATAAAAAAATCAACCTGTATAATTTTTTAATAATTTTAGATGTTTATCAAAAAAGCTCGTCATGGATATATTTATGTATATATATATATATATATATATGTATGTATACGACGTATAGGTACGTACATTGATAAATTTGTGTTATACTTACCGCTGTCTCTGGTGTCAAGTATCCGATAATTCCAATTTTGCGACCATTTACCATCAAAACTTTAGATTTCATCAAGTTCGACTGGCTGGCCAAAGATGATTCGTTAGTTAGATCGAGATTACTTGCTACAACTGGAGTATTTATATTTTTTATGAACGATTCAACATCTTCCACGCCGTCATCGAATTCGTGATTTCCCAAACACTGTAACACATTATGCTCAAAAATATATGAAATAATAAGAATAATAACTAATAATAATAATAATAATAATGGTAATTTACTTATTTCTATATCGTTTTGCGCAGTCCAATTTTAAATTTAATAAGAAATATTCAATGTTAATAAATATAGCCCTTATTATATTTCTGAGACAAATCGTTATAAATCAATATTTAAATTCAATTGTTTACATTAATAAGTAAAATAATTCTTATTGTATACTTTGCTAGATTTTTATTTTTAATTTGAAGATGGTTTTTTTTAAAAAAAATAAGCATGAACATTGAATGGAAATCGACCACATTTTATAAATATTAATAAACGTATGGTTTAAAAATAAGTTATTTCATTGATTTCTTAATGTTATTATAATGTTAATAAACAAATTAGGTCCGGTAATTACATACCTATCAATGAAGGATAGGTATAACTGCTGACCGCACCATCAACGTTAAAAAATGTTAAGAATGTCTGAATTAAATTACATCAAATATATGTTACAAACAAAGAAGGTCAATTCGATAATTTATAAAAAAAAGTCGACGTCATCAATAAATTATCATATTAAAATACATTTTTGTTGTTAATAAAGATTAAAACTATTAATTTGAATCTTGGTCATAAATTTAAATTATTGATATATTTTTACTTTCTACTGTAAGATTCAATAATAATTAGATATAAACAGATTGTCATAAAAATAATCGACGTATATTATCAGTACAATAATTATAGCTACCTGCTTATAACCAAATTTTCAGACGATCATTATTAAGGTACTGACATTAATCTACCCAATGGTATTTTTTATAATATATTACCTAAATACTCAATAAGGTAATAACTATATGAATGTATTTATACAGTGACCAGACAATTTAATTACTTTCGACTAAATTTGTATTGATTCATTTTGTCTTAAAATAAAGAGTTAATTTTATTCAAAATGTAGCTCAATAATGTATATTTTAACAATCCCCTCTATTTTAAAAAATCGTAGATTTTCGTGATCAATTAATATAATTTATGCGAACATTTTTAGGATTCTAAAAAAAATCCCGAAAGGTCGATTCCTCACACTAATTGGTGGTGATAGCAGTGTGGTGGTGGAAGGGGAGGGGAAGTAAGCAGGAAACAAAAATATTTCAAAAAATTTAATAATTCTTGTGAAAATCTATGTAAAATTCTATACCTATAATAACGCGAAGACTCCTGTACATTGACCACGGTGGCCATTGTTAAGTCATATATCAGAAAATATTCATTATGCTCATGCTAATTTTACTCCGAAAATTGACTATAAATTTAAAAGAATTACGTATTTATATTTCGGTAACCATCAACTTTGAACGGTGTAAAAACTATGACCGACATTAACATGTCGTGTTCGTAAATAGCAACGAAAGAATATCATAATACCTACGTACGACGACAACAAATCAAAAATGTTTAATCGAGCGTAAGACTTTATAGTGTCGATGGCACATATTTTAAAAGTCACCCCAAACCGCATTTCACGTCAATGATATTATTGATTATTCTAGGCGTTCGAAGTCCTCGAGAGTATTTCTTAACCAAAGGACAACAGCACTGTACATGGATATAATACATCGTGACGGCGGTTATTAAGGATGAAAATAATATACTTTCAACAGGTTAAATAATAAAATCGTACGACGACCCGTTCCGCGCCCACTCACCATGACGTCGATGCCGAGCGCCCCGATCATACGCTGGACGGCCCGCCACTTGAGTAACGTGTAGTACGCCGTGCCCTGGAACGTGTCGCCGGCGTTGAGGAACAGCGCGCCGTCCACGTCGGCGTTCCGGCGCTCCCGGTCGACGGCCGCCTTGATCCGCGCGAAACCGCCGTAACACGGCCGGCCGTCCGAGGCGCATTCCGCGCCACCCGTCCCGTCGATCTCGTCGAACCGCGAGTGCATGTCGTTGGTGTGCAACACGAGCAGTCGGTAACGACCGGCCGCCACCGCCGTGGACAGCAGCCACAGGAATAGCACCACCGCCCGGAACGCCCGCGGCCACTGCACGCTGACGGCCATCGTCGTATAGCTGGGAACCGTTTGGACTTTCAATATGACGTGATCGTCACGCCTACGCGAGTAGCGTATCTGAACCGAAGACGGGCGAGTACAGAAGAGCAAAATTACTCGGATGAACGTTGTTCGGTGTGTCGCGGGCGCGTTCGACTGGTCGAGTGTCGTACAATGCACCGTCGGCCGGACGGCACTAGCATATCGCACTGATCGGACAGACCTCCCCTCCCACCACTCGTCGGGCAATTTCTTTTGCCGTACCACGATTACACCCCATCACCACACCCTACCCAGGTCAAGCCCTCGATGTGTGATGTACTTAACGATCTAAACGGTTCTAAATTTTAAGCGCTGGCTATTCTTATAAGATCCAGTTCTATAAGGCAGTCCTGTAAATGCAGGGTGAAGATTAAGGGAGGGAAACTAAAGGGCTTCAGTTCCTTTCTTTTTTAAATGTTAAATATTTTACATACCTATTTTTTTTTATAATAAATAGTTCATACGTCTTAAAATCCATACATTTAAAATATTTAAATAAAATTGTTTACATGTTATCCATAATCTATCATGAATTAAAATATTAGTTATATTTTTCTTTTAATTTAGCCCCTTCCTATTTCAAATTTCTAGATCCACAACTACCTATAGAATCAAAATGAGTTATATAATGAATTCTTATAAAATTAAACTTTATAAATAGCTTTTTAAAATATTAAAATTAAAATTTTTAACCTATACAAGTTTTGATAATAATAATTAATAAGACCTATATAAGAACACTGAAATTTAAATTTTAAATTGTTTGTAAATTATTGTATTTTTTTTTTTTATATCTACTATACAATTATTGTTTTGTATAATAAAATCTTCAATTAATTACATAATATGTCCGTTATAAATGTTATAATAATTATTATATTTGTTAAAAGTTACGTGTAAGAATAATACGGTTTACGTTCAGATACAAAATGGTATTTTAATGAATATGCAATTGTGATGCTAGATAAAAAATTCTAATAACTAAAGATAAGTGCGTAATTGAACTAAAACGTAATTATGTTTTATTTAAATAATAAATATTTTAATTTCAAAATTTTTCAAAAAATACTTAATAAAAATTATTTTCTAATAATAATGATTTTTTTTCGTAAATTGTTCACATTTCTACAAATTGTTATGGTTTATTCGATAGAAAAACTAACTTATTGTTTATGAAGAATTGTTTAGAGCGATAGCATCCAATTTATTACTTTAAAGATTATGAAATTTGTATAAATTACATTGCTAAAATGTACGTATTTTATTATTGATACAATTTGATAATTGTGTAAAAATAATAATATATTTTAAATAAATAAATAGTATATACTATATGTACAACTTAAAGTTATCTTTACTCTTTAGTTAAAATTAACTTTAGTCCTTAAGTTATAAAAAATTTGGTTTTATAAAACTTAGTGTATTATAGTCAGTGTTTATTTCAGGAAGGTGATCGGAGAGTATTAAGACTTACTATGTCAACTAACAATAAAATAAAATAAATATCATGATAGAGGTTAAGTAGTATTGATCATTGCTATTATATATTATGTATACTCATACATAATATACACGTACTCAATGCCATTACTCATTAATTATGACCACTTCTTATGTAATCAATAACTTCAAAAATAATTTTGAATGCAATTTAGATTCATTTTTACTTTACTTTATCTTTACTTTCTATTATTTGTTCTTATCTTATTGTACCCCATGATAATGATTATGGTATTCTACAGACTGGAAATACTTGAATTAGTTGTTTCTGTTTAATTATGCGTAGACTTCAATATGTTTTACTGGTTATACAAATTAATTCATAAAAACAGAAGTATAAAAATGTTTACTGTTAGTAGTAAATCATTAAAAATATGTTACTGGACGTTTTAAATAATTAGATACTAGTTGAGTACAATAGATGACATGTTGGTAGTCTATAACTTAATAGTAAAAATATGTAATAAATGTAATAAATATATTTACAGTAAAACTCTTTAGAAAGTCGTATTATTGGAATAATGAAAGTATGATTTTAGAAAAAATCATTTATCATGTTTCACAAATATAATACATCCGTCACCAATGATGGCCTTCGACAATTGGTGATGAATATATATCATCACTTCAAACACGATAACAGCAGTACTACGCATTAGGTTAAAACCCGTTTTGTTGTCGAGGCAGAGCATGTACATTATACTTGTAACTTGTAAGTATCCAGTTGATAAATTTATATTGAAATAGTAATATAAGTGATAATAGATTAAAATTGTATTATACTTTTGAATAATATTTGATTATTGACCCCATATACTAGCTATAAGCTAACCTAATCCAACCCAACCTTGAACCTTATTCAAAATATGTAAAAGCTAAACAGTCAACAGATAAATTAAGATTTAAAATGTTTACAATTTTTTAAAAATAACAATGAAAAACGTAAGAAAATGCTATTGAAATAATATAATTATAATAATCATAAATCAAATAAGGAATGATAGGTTGTTGTTAGTCAACTTAATTGTTTTTTTAGATAATGTGTAGGGCAAATAAAAACAGAAAAGAAATAGAAATGTTGAAGGTTTTAAAGAAGGACAAAAACATTGATATTACTTAATACTGCTGAAGCAACTATATTGTGATCACTAGTTTTACAAAAATAAAGATCAATACTAATCCTCCTGTCAGCTAACAAATTTAAATCAATAATACGAAGGATAAGAGAGTTATCATGTTATTATACCATTGATTATTAAAATAAAAGCTAAGAACTTGTGAAATTTCCACTAAATACTTTCAAGCTGACACTCATCAGTATATTTTGTAATTTAATCCCAGACTATACTTACTATACTCCATGACTATATGAACAGTTAAACAATAGATAGAGATTTTCAATGTATGGACAGAAACACAGCTTTTTATTAACAATGAAACTTAGATCAACCACTTAATTTGTTAATGCAATTAGGTTGACTTCATTAATAAGGTAGTTAAATACTAAAGGATCAAAGATTCTTGAATAAGTTATAATATAAGATTTTAAGATATTCAAAGAAAACTTATCCAAAAGGTCATTTATATTAGATAATATGACCCCTTTGAAAAATACTCGAAAGAACGTCTAATTAATCTGATTGCACACTATTAATCATCGCACACAGTTAGTATTTAAGTATAAATCGAAAAATGAGAATAGAAGTTCTCCAAATACTCAAAGATGTTAAGTCATTTATAACAAAATAAATAACTGCAACTTAAATATCCTACAACTTATTTTACATAACGCTGTTGGATAGTTAAATCATTTATCTCTTTTGGTAAATATCATCTACAATATTTTCTTAGTATTTCTGTGTAATTACTTTTATCATTTGGTGCAGAATTAAAAAATAAATTCAATTTAGATAATTCAACAAATGGGATTAAACATATATGAAAAAATTCATAGCTTTATCGGAATTGATAATAAAGCTATATTAATATTTTGATGTACTTACTGATCGAGATTAAGCCATTAGTATGCTTTTTGAATTTTTAAATTCTTTATATCCAACAGGACTCGCACCTTGATTTAAAAACCAGTAAGTAACTTAACATTTTTATGTGAAATTTGAATGCATCCAAATCATGTCACTGAACGAAATTGAATGTAATAACTTTAAATAGAAACGTTATCTATCCGAAATTCTCACAGACTTTGTTTTCAATCGTCACATTCCTATAAGTTATAATGTTTATATTCCAAGAATGCATATTATTATAAACAAAATATCTGTTTAAATTCAAACGTATACAATTTCAAATTAAACTTTGTTTTGCTGAGTCAAAAAGCAACCATTAAAGTTAAAAGTCATATAATGAAAGTCGCAAGGATTTACAACATAGATTACGAAACAACCAGTGTTCAATCTAGTATAATTTTTCAATTAGCACGAGGCAGATCGAAATTAACTGCTAATAAAGTAATAAATAAAATTCAATAATTACTTACACTACATTACACAGCGCAAATTTATCATCCACTTGGGTTAAGACTAAACCTGAATAATATTAAAATTTACTCAAAGAAAATGTTTGTTTTGTAAGTATTTAAAATAAAATAATGAGTGGCTATTCGATCCAATACAATAGACATTTAATAATAAATAATACCAATACATTAAAATAATAATTAGCTGCTTAAAGACCTGTGATATTTTCCATATCTTTTATTCAAAACTAAGTTTTCTATCACAGCCACGCACCGGTTAATTCAACTTGCTGTATTAACATTAATCAGCAATAACCATAAAATACATAGATCCTTAGAAATATAAGCTAATAAACCATTCCCAATTTGAATCGTTTATTTTTGTATAGGTACAATAATTTATCATTGAATTGAACACATTCATTATAATGTACTCAATACAGCCTTATAGCAGAGAAATTTAAACTATCTTTAAGCGCTTAAACAGTCGATATTACAAGTTCATTTTTAGATATATTAGAATGAAAATTTAGAATATCATCTTTTATACGTATGAAGTTTTCCATTCCTTGTGCATTGTGTTTTTGAATTCTAGTTAAGTTATATTTACACAATTATCCTTTGTATAAGTAACAAGCATTGATTTAAATGTAGTAGAAGAGTGTGAAGTAAAGCTAAGTTCATTTTTTGTCAATACACTTTGAGATTTTATATTTTACAACTGATATGGTGTAATAACTGAAAGATATTAAAAATTGTTGTCAATAATATTAAGTAAATATACAAAGACTTTTTAATTATTAGTATTTGGTAATCTCTAAAACAAAAGCTATTGAAGCTATATTCAGATATTAATTAATGAGAGAATAATGATAGAAACATGAGCTTTTTTTTAAAGCTGTATAAATTATAAATACACCGAGTAATGCTTTGTTTCTACTTTTAATATATTGATTGTAAAGTTGCTTATGGTGTAAAGTACTTAATGAACTTGAATCATTAATTGGATCACTATGATTGATGTAATAATGTGTTAAATTTTAATCCAATAATCTACTTACCCCTCATGATAAACAAAAACTGAGTCTGAACTGAACTTTTTAGTGATCATAGTAACTAAATAATAATTATATTAATAATGTTGAAATTTTGACAAATATTTATTTATACCACCACCAATTATTTTAATAAGTAGGCACTGAGTAATTTCTACTTTTAACTCATCAACTTACAAACTATATAGAAGTTGCTTTCAGAAACCTCACTCAAAGTAAATGATCAAATCATTTTTCTACAAAAAAATCCTTGTGAAATCGATAGATTTCTACGCTTAAAATGTAATATACCTGATATAATAAGTTTTAAAGAATATTGAGAATATTGATATAAAGTAGAGTAAATAAAAATTCACATCTATTCTCAGAATCTTTATTTTAGTGTTAAATCAATCATTTTATTATAAATAGAACACATCTATGGCAAACTGTGATGAAAAAATCTCTCTAACTATTAAATATACACTAACCAAAATAACTGGTGAGGAGCCTTATTTTAAATTTTTAAAAAATTGTACTCACATTATGCATACCTAGCAAATATTTTTGGATCACTATATGGCATTTAAATTGCATAAATGTAAGTATTAAATACATTTCTCAGAAAAAAAAAACAGATAAATTGAAATAATTTAACTAAAAAATATAAAACATAAACAATTTTTTTTTGGTAAAATATTTAAAATGCCCAATCATGTCCATTGGAAAATTATGAACTTAAACTTAAAAAAATAAGTCATATACAACATTTTAAGTATAAAAAATAACAGGCCTATCTTTTTTTTAATAATTATCTGAACAGTTAAATCATAAATAAGATAATTAGAAATGTATGCTACAAAATTGATTGTAATATCATATGATTTGTTACTTGAAATTCTGATTATTTATGTAAATAATTTGTAAAAATTTAAGATTTAAATTGATTTATAGGATTTTTTTTTTTTTTTTTGATCATGTATAAATTATTATTTTAGGTATTATTAAAGAATCACCGCAAAATCTTCAACTTCTCTACCAAAATAAGGTGTTGGATGAGAAAAAAAGTTTGTCAGTTTATGGTTCAAGTTTTGATATTCTAAATCCAATGGTTATCGGTTTATCATTAAAGTAAAAATGATTAAATATTAAGATATTTGTTGATTATTCATGTTGTATGGTTTTTGTAGGATGGATAATGGAGAATTTGAGCCATTAGACATAACTCCATACTCAGAGCCACCATTAGAAAATTTGCTATAAACAAAAGATGAAGAATCTAACCGATGATCGAGAAAACCAGCCATATTAACAGCAATCACACTATTTTTTTTTTTTAAATAATAAGCATTGTTTAAATTTATTATTTATTTTATTTATAATCGATTAACATGTAATACTGGAATACTAAAATGGTAACATAAACATTAAATAAATTAAAAACATAAGAAAATCATTAAATGAGTATATTAAAATATATCTATTTGTTAAAACAATCAATAATGGGTATAAATGGACTAAGTTTTATTATGCTGATATTTTCCTAACAATGAGAGGGATATCATTCTCTCTGCGTTCAATCCATAACATTATGTCTATTATTAAGCATCAATCTGGCCTTAGTAGATCGTTTTTTTGAAAGTTGTGTCATAAAAATCAATTTTTATAAGTTTTAAAAATAAAATATTACTGAACATAATCTACCAATTTACCATCATAAATGTTATACATATCATATTTATATTTTTTATTAGCTGATAAAACATTATGATAATAATAATGTATACACTTACCTACTTATATAGGAGAATATTTTTAGTTACAATATTATTGCTTAATTAACCTAATTTATATTGATTAAAATTATTTATATATTATCGGTTTTTAGTTGAACATTTATAATATTAAGAGACACAATTTAAATAACAAATGACTTTAAAAAAAAATTTTTTATAAAATATACTTTTATAGAATTATTTATTTGTCTTAACTTTATTAAAATAAACTACTTTTAAATAATACTGACTACTAGCTCCAGCATATTTTAAAAACAAATAATAATTAATAGATAATAACAAATAACAACTAAATTTTAAATTTTATGAATGTGCAATAATATTAAGGTACATATATTCAAGTATGCAGTCTCTTATAAACGTTTTATCTTGTCTTATAAATTGTATAAAATAAAAATAAAAATGTATTAAAAAATATTAATTAATTATTAACTTATTGTTGCATGTTAGATCTATTTTTTACTTGGTATTTAGTATTTAATTTAATAGTTAAAAAAAAAAAAAAATTATTGGGCATAAAGATTTTTAAATTATTTTTGTTCTATAAAGAAAAATTTATCAAAAAAATCAGATTTGTTTATAACTTAGTTCCTTTTGACAAAATTTAGAGAACAAAATCATAGTTCAACGGATCTTATTGTAAAAAACATGAATGAGGAGTAGAGTACAGTATTTCTATAAAATGCTGTATTGTATGAAAGAGTTCAGTTTTCATTCACATAATCAGGTTTTGGAAGTAAGGAAAAAACAAATATTTCATAAATATTATTATTTTATTATTATAATAAATCTAATTTTTTAGCCAAGTAAATCTAATGATGCATACAAAATAATTTAATAAAATTAAAAGCACATGTTAGGACTTAAGTTTATTTAAGGTCTATGGCTCAGTAAACCGAGCGTTAATCGGCAGCAAATGACGACGACGACGATGACGATGACAATAACGAAGATTATAATACAGTGATATAAATATATAAATCTTAAATTAGTTATTTTAATTTAGAATAAATTATTAATAAAAATGTAAAAAAGTGCAAACAATTCTTTTCCTAGGCGTCAGAATTACACCCGGGGGAGGGGCCTTTGGATCGTACGTAATTCTTTTACCACTAGGCCACGAAATCTAACAGATAGGATATAGAATATATTGGCTATTTAAACAAAATATTACAAAATACGTGATTTTCAAAGTGCTATAACTTAAAAATTAATGATTAGCCCCAATTTATTTTTGCACCATCGTTTTTAGAATGTCAAAATACATAAAATGTAAAAAAAAAATACACAACATTTAAGGTGTCCGATAAAGTAGAAATATACCAAAATGGAAATACTACATGACTGATGTAGCTTATATTTACCGCTAAGTTTGATATAATAAAATGTGTACTTATGTCAAGGTTAACAACAAAAAATGGATCTGCTGAAGGTAAATTTGATATCCTATACCTTTGTGAGCTAGATGTGATGTCTCAAACTTCATGTGTCATGTATGCCTTGTTTATGTCCACTTATTAATTAATAATTACTATTAATATTATCTGATGTCTATATTTCACCTTTAATTATTTATCACAAATCACAATTATTTTTATAGTAATTTTCATCACTCATAATTTATTATAAAATGTATATATATATATATATTACTAGGAAGTATAAATGTATAATAGTTATAGCACTACCTAATAATAATTATCAGTGTGTATGAATATTAATATAATTTTATGCTTTAGTATAAAATGCAGGAAAAATAACTTAAAGATGTCAAAATTTGTTTAAAAATCAATTATATTTTATTTAAATACCTAGTATATTGTAGAAAAATGTATAATACTTTAAAGGTATCTTATTATATGGTTTAAGTACCTGCAATTTTAAATTATACAACATCAAAAATGTATAAAACTAATGAATTTTATATTTAAAATTTAAACATCAGTCGTTTTTTTACAAAACATATTGATAACTTTTTCATAAAAATCAATATCATTCTAAATCATTTCATTTTCAATATTAATCGTTGTTAGAGCATTCAATTTTTCTTCAACAATAGTCGTGTTTTCTAGGCACACACACCTTAATCCGTTTTTAAGTCGAATAAATTTTTTCATTTTTTGTAGTTATTGGAAGAACAGCTACTAATATTTATAGTAGTAAACTAACTTCTTTAAAAATATTGTTTTAATTATAATTCAATATGTGTTGATAATGTTGATATGTTGGAATAATACCAGATAATTTACAAAACTTATCATTCAATTTTTAATATAAAATTAGATAAGAGCTAGTCGTACACTACAATAATTGACATGGAAACGTCAAATACTCAGTGTATTTTTCTACTTGAAATAGCTTAACTACAATAATTAGGAGTATAATGAACTCGAAATGATTTTTCGTCGTATCTATTAGAGTAATACAAATGTCAATAGCTATATTTTCGAAATTCATTGTTATAATGGAGGTCATTGTATTCTTCATCGAAATGTTTTCTTTTAACATTCACATCAATCACATCTGACAACTATGAAGCACTATCAATAAATTATATCAGCAACCTTATTAGTTATTACGTACATTAAAATATTATATATTAATTGTTTGGACGAATAAAATTGTTTTTTTGACTGTAGATTACTACCTAATTATATATTAATATTATGAACGTATACTAATATATTTTTTTAAATAATACTAATTGTTAATTATTCATATTTTGTATGATTTTGTTCAATTAATCGTTGAATATATATATATATATATATATATATATATATATATAAAGCTAATAGATTACTTTAAAATGTACTAATTATATTATGATGTGTAATTTTATTTATTTGTTTTGACTGTAGATTAATATCTACCTATATAATAATATTATGAATATCTTTGCCAATATTTTTGATAATTCTCGCTCAAACGATATTTTAGTTGAATAAACAATAAACCTTCACCCAAGAGGCAAACGATATATTATACTTATTCGTCCAAACAGACTATATTTTGGGTCGATTCGCCCTAACGGTCTACGCCCAAATTTTCATTACCAAAATATAAACATGGAAAACAAAATAGGTAATGCTTAAATGATTTTACACCCGCTTAACCACGAATGTTTATTACAGATAGTCATATCAAAATAATTATGCATGCCTCTCTTGTAAACTTTTAGCGATCAAATAACAAGATCTGCTAGGTTTGGAGTTGGTTGTCCCAGTTTCTTTATTTAAATTTGTTCTTTGTATGTCAATGTAGAAAATAGATTACTGATTAATAATCAGATTTTGAATAGAATTTTTATTTTTGGACGGCTTTATTGTAGGTATGTTATGGTAGTTATGTTATTGTACCTAGTATAATAGAAAAGAGAATTAAAAAAAGAAAATTAATTACAACATAACATACTTTTGATAAATCTGAAATTTCAAGTTACCAGCTATATAAATTCTAATTTTGTCGTGATGTCGAATATTCCTATTGCTGGTTATGTGATTCTATTATAATTTGGAACTTAACAAACATTTAATATTAATTTGAAGTTAGAACTTCTAAAATTAGTAATACGACTAATACAATGCTGCGTATTTACAAAACTCGTAATTATCTAATATTGATATCAGATATTATAAGTTGTATAACAATCAGATAGAAACCAACGATCAAAAAGATAATTTAGAGGAAAAATGAGCGTTTTATTTCGACAAAAAAAATAAAATAGTTATTAGTTATAAACAAAATTAAATACAAGGGTACCATATAAGTACCTATGTAACTCTTAATATCATCATTTTTTTTTCGAAATTTGTAGGTATATAAACATACTAGATAGCGTACGCCATTTACTTAATTGTTATTAAACGTGTGTGTATGTTGTGACAGTCATTTTGTAAAGATGGCAATATTTACATTATGTAGAATTGATAACAAATACTAATCAATAGACAATAATCATAAATCGTTGGAAATTTTGTTTGAACAAGATTACCGATAGGTGAACTACATTTTGTGCTTATCATGTTATCCTTATCATTTTCCGAACAACTGCACCCTGCTCATCAAAATTGAAAATACTAATATACTAAACATTTTATATTTCTTATAAATAATGAAAACCATATTTATTTTAATGGTTTAAGGTTTTAACTTGCTCCGCTAATGGATGTTCGAATATCCACTTTTTTTTAGGTTGATGTTTACTATTGAAGTTTACATATTATTTTATATTTAAATTATCAACTCATATTTTTCGTAATATAAATTTAATTTATGTACCTATAGTTTTCCATTAAAGAATCCATCCGGAAATCAGCTATGGAATCTAACTGTTGCTCGCAAATGATTAGTTCCTGATAAATATAGTTAAATGTGTAGTGTTTACTGTAATTGAAATTGTTTTTATGATAAACCCATGGGAAGTAATAAGCTTCAATTAAATAATAACACAGTTCCTGTTATTATTACAAAATTATTGTCATCCGCCAAAGGTTTGCAAATTAGATTTTTCTAACACTAGTGTTAAAGATAAAGAAATATTTCCTGTTGAAAGTTCTGAAAGTAAAAAAATATTTTAACCAACATAGATAATAATATGGTCTTTAATATTACATTATTTTATACTTAATTTATAAAATTTGTTTTTATTGATTATAGAACCATTACTTACTTTACTGTCATCATTTTCTAACACTAGTATTATAGATAAAGAAATATCTTCAATAGAAAGTTCTGATGGTAAGAAAACATTTTATTTAATATTAAAATGGTTTTTATTTATTATGTCTACATAAAAAATTAAATTTGATACTTTTTTTTTTTATATATATTTATAATAATAAGACATTCCTAGCCTGTAAGGCTATCTACATCTATGGATACTTAGTAACATTAATGTTTTGAATATTTTAACATGATAATAGATAAGTAGTAATATCGATAATAAGTAATAATAATAGTGACAAACAATGGTCAATTACATATTACATCATAAAAAAGTAAAAACCGCTTTATGTAAAATAAGAAAATTTAGTAGTGTTATGACTTAAATGTGTCTAAAATTTAAATTATTCCTCCTTGTCCAGAACTAGTCACAACTTGTAGTGGCAACTTCAATAATTAACTATTATAAGCTGTTTGATTTATTGCTCTAAACGCATTTATGATTCTCCATCATCACCTAATGTCAAATCGACAAAATATGTTTTCGATTTTTCAGATTGTTGAGATTTTGAACCTCCTGCCATAGGTTTATTTAATGGCTCGTTAGATTGTTCATCATCACTATCCAAATTCACGTGATCAATAATATTTATTTCAGCATTAAGATTGTCCTTCATATTTTCTTTTGAAATGTTTTTCCAAGATCCATCAGCACATAATATAATTTCTTGATCGTTGTCATTAAGTTTAGAGCTTGTGACAACTTCCAAAAAGTAACTTTCTATTTGTATATCATCATACAAACAAGATATTTTACATATAGGACACTTCCATGTAGCCTTTTTTTCGTTCATTATGATAAACGTTTTAGCATCAAAACATTGTAGATGATTACAGTAAATAGATTTGGCAGGTAACTTCATTCTAGTTTTACTTAATGGGCATATTAAGGAAAAAATATCATGTGTAACGGTTAAATCTGGATCAAAATTTGCCAGCTTTTTAATAATATCAGATTTTGTTTTTTCTGAACTTTTTGCTTCTTTACCTTTAAGTTTTTTTACCAAAGTATCGACACTTATTTTTTTTACAATATACATTGCAAGAGCGTAATTATTTTTATCGGGAGTCCAATTGATTTTAATTTCATTTGAAACAATAGGAGATAAAAGCAGTTGATGAGTACAATTTATAGGACCTGCAGTTCGTCTAGTTACAAATCCTGGTCGCATATTACGAGGACAAGGTGGCAATGGACAATATTTATTTTCAATTCGAATATGAAGTCCCATTGGCAAATAATCACTTACTTCATCACACCCAATTCTTAATTGACAAATTCGAATCTGACACTGAAAAGGATATTCATTTTTCCCATTGGAAATGTCCCGATTTAAACTAATAATTGATGCTTGTTTGGGTGACAATGTCAGGGAGAATCTGCTTTCATTAATTCCTGAAATAAAATAGATATTATAAATATAATTTACTTAAGAAGATACTTAAAATATATTGCTACCATTAGGGGCATTTTCCAATGAACATTCGTATAAGCTTGTTAAATAAGTTAGGTTGATAATATTCTCAATTACTTCATAAAATGGTAGACTTTTGAACTCAACATATTCTATAAATTGAGGATTCAAAGTCAAAGAACTCTTGATTATACCTGTAAATGGATTCAAAATAAGTTTCATTGCATTTTGTTTTTTTGCATACATACTTTCTGGTTTTGGGGGCAGCTGTGATGATACTACAGTATGAGATGCAGTTGAAGTTGACTGTGCATTTTGAGTGCTGCTGTTAGCAGTAGAGCTTCCAGGAATTGTATTTGCATCATTAGGGTTTATGTACACAGTATTTTGCATATGGGATATAATATATGGTAATCCAGTAGAGGTGTTGTTTATTGATTGATGAGTCAATTGTGATGCCTGACAAACTTTTTTTGAGGGAATCTGTTTCTGATCCATAGACTTTACCTTCTTTAATTTAACTTGTTTAGAATTATCACACAAATTAATGATCTGAACAGTCTGGTAAATTTCAATTATTTTTGCTTTATATTCAGGATAGTTAATACCAGTTATTTTAGTCTCCAACAATTGAATTGCTCGTTTTAGTAATTTAGATTTTTCTCCAGTTAAATGTTGACCAAAAGTATTCAATAGTAATTGCAAATTAACAGTTTTAAAACAATGCAGCATACGAATCAACATGGCTAAAAATTAAAAAATATATAATTAATTATTTTGTAAAACATTTATAGTTGGAATGATTAAATAATAAAAATAAATATATAGAATCATCTTTAAAATATAATATATAATATTGGTTAGTATTGTATTATCTCCATTGTTACTAGTGCTATATCCTCTGATATTTCATACAGTATAGAATAAAATGTAATTATGACATAAGCTTATGATATTGCAACATATGTAGGTTTGTTAAAACTAAGTGGCTGTCGATATTTTTATCTAATTCTATCCAGTTAAGGAGTAGTTGGTTAGCTATTCCCACTACACAAACCGGACCGGTTTTAAGAACCGGATAATTGAATAAATTATGATTTATCAATAAGGTAGGTTATTATACCTATAGTAAATCAAATTAAAAATGTTACTTAAAAATATAGAGACTGCTGTTATCTTTGTTTCACGAACCAAAAACGACTGACTAGCTATATTAAAAATGATTGTATATACACGTACTCTATGTTCCTGTGTTCTTTTGACCCAAGTAAAATTGCAGAGTGCAGCATAAATGATGCGTCAGTAACATATATATTGTTACAATATTATATTAGATAATTGGGTATAAAAAAACTATTTCATTAATAACAAAAAATAATATGAAATTGGTAATGTTACATAATATTAAGATAGGGTATGAAATCTCAATAATAATAAAAACCATGTGATGTTTATATAGTGTACAATAATGTAAACACAAAGATGATGCATTAATATTATTTAATTAGGTAACACAATTGCATATAATTGTAGTTTAAAAGATTTAGATATGGTACGATACAACATCCAATCAAACTAATGTTAATCATAACACATATCTTGAGAACATGACCTATGCCAATTTAAAAGATCACCAGGTGTTATATAAATATATAAATTAATATTTATAATTAATAATGTAACTTGTAGCTGTCCTATCATATTTCATGACTATATATATTCAATTTTTATATATCCATAAAGCTAAATGGAAATAATGAATAACATTATACTTCTATTTAAAATTCAATGGTAATTTAAATTTAAAATTGATATTAATCAATTACAATAAGTTTCAATGGCCAGAGTGCATCTTTCATTCTATACTGTTAATAAAAGTGCCAAATAATAAATAAAAAGTGGATAAATACAATAAAAAAATTGATTTTCTTAAGTAAGAAAAACTGTACCTATACAGTTGATGCAATATGATTGAAATAGTTTAACACTACTCAGAATTATACTCATAACCATTATATACTTAAAAACACTAGAAATAATGAAATTTAAAGTAGAAATATGTTTATATATTTATTCACAGTTATACACATTCATAACTATACAATAAAAGATAAAAGATTTGGCTATTGCAAACTATAGTAGCTCGGTGGTTGCTTTTTGTAGGCGATAATACTATTCTAACCATACTAATTGTAAACATTTATTTTAATACAAAATCAAATGGTTTCATACCAAAATCTACCCTTCTGTTCATTTTAACTAATACTATTTGCAGTAATCAGTCTGTGCTTTCACCACTTGAACACTACACGCTCCTTTTACGTCTAAGGTACATAAACGTCACTGCTTTGGATGAGCTTGAGGTTGATTAAATGAAGTTAGCTGAAAATTAGTTTTACAGAGTAATTATTTATTACATTTAAGAATTATCTTAAAAATGTATAATAAAGAATTTAGACAGAATATATAAATATTCTAACGGAGAGTATGTATTAGTCTAAGACTTTGGGAGTATATAGGCAGTGATGCGACTGTAACAAAGTCTACAATCCATATAAATACTTAAGAACTGAGATGACAATCACTAAATCTCTCCATAACAGAGGGTCTATTTGTATGGGACATGCCATGATTAAAAGAGAAGTTGATTGCCATTATTAAATTATTTTTTGATGTGTTAGCTAAATGCTAGCCAATGAAATGATATTGTACTTTAAACCTACATTCTATAACACGGGTTTACTATATATTATTAAAATGAAAAATAAGAAATAAGCATGATAGTCTATATAAGAATGAATAAGATGATTTTTTCATCATCTTAAGCAAAAAAACAACATAATGAAAAAGGGTAGTTTTAAAAATTTAATATGACTAAATTATAATATAATCAATAACTTCAAGTGTAAATAAAATCAATCATTTTCTAAATACTTCTCGATTCGGGTCATGTTTATTAAAAAAAAAAAAAAAAAGTAGTTTAAAAATAAACATGAATAATGGCTACTAAACAGCATTTATGTTTTATGCCCTATGATAATTTAAAAATGTATATTGAAAAGTGTCAAAAAGCAACACAATAATTATTACCTGTAGTTGTATTTCCTTACGACCAATTAAGATATAAAGAATCTGTATGACTGTCGACTTCACAGAGTAGAGAAACACAATACAGAAATAACGAATAGGAATCAGCGTCCAATGGCTGTGTTTGGGTAACGCGCTTAAACTAATGAAAATCACACGGCCAAATATAGAAACGCGTTTTACTAACTACATGACTATGCATATTTTAACTTCCCAAAATACAGCGTGGGGACGCGTTACCAAGTTTCGTAGAGGTTCATACTTCAGATGAATCGTAAACAAGAACCCGATACGAGCGTTTATAGCCCCCTCGAAGCAGTTTCTCTTATCACAAAACCATTATCACATAACCGATCATTATCATGGTCACAAAGTTTAATACCATTTATATGGTTAATACGTTATCAGTGAGCGCCAAATTAAATTCAAATCATTTGGATAATATACATCATTATTCATTAATAATTTATTATTGTAAATGTAAAGTATTAACACAATAATTCGATTATTATTAACTATGTCTAGGGGCGGTCCAGGGTCAAAAAGTCTTGACCCCCCCCCAAATTTTTTTTTTATTTTAATCATATTCGAATATTAAAAAAATATCTCATGAATCATGATTTATTAAAATATAAGAATATTAAGTCATAATATATGGCGTAAAAAACATTTTGATGGGTTGAAAACTATGTACTATGCTTTCAAGCCTCACATATAACGAGTATAATATTTACCAGCGGCTGAATACGAAAATAATAAGTTATTACTTATTATTAAATATTAATCATTGTTATTAATAATTTGTTAAAAATTCTATAAACCACGGGTTTAAATTATTATTAACGAACTATGATAAAAAAAATATAATAAGAGAAAAATTCTGTCTAGCATAATTGTTATAGAAAAATCTGAAACAAAATAATTAAATATTGGCAATATAATCAATAATTTTGATGAATATCATTAAAATAGAAGGATTTTATTAAAATACCTAAATTATTTATATTATTATGTATTTTATTGCTGTTTTACGTAACTTACATGATGTGTTTATTGGTACTTATAAAATATATTGTTAGTGATTTTATGGTTCTTATTATTTCCAATTTATTTTTATTATGTAAACAAATAATTAAAGTTTTTAGTTATACAATTTAAACTTTAAACATAGTTGTTTTTTTTTTTTATAATAAAATATATTCATTGAATTGTTTATTTGAATTGATATTACAATATATAATGTTTATTGTCAGTAATTTTATAGCATAATAATTTTATAACTTTTTTTTTTAGTTTTTTGGATTACTTACCAATCTTGACAACGTATTACAAATTTATACTGAGTGTAGCATAATAATGTTGTTTATATCATGGAAACAATACAAAAATTTCTTGAAACTATGTAATCTTATAAAGTAATATTAATTATCTATTTTATATAACGTATTAATTAATTAACTTTTTAAGTATAATCTATATACTAAATACTAATATAATATATATAAACTGTTTAACTGTTAAGTGTTATCGGTTATGTGATAATGGTTTTGTAATAAGAGAAACTGCTCCGAGGGGGCTGTCTCTAGACGCTCGTGAACCCGATTAGCTAATCCACGTCATTTACGTGTTTTACTGATATTAGCTTTAAAGCAGTGCGACAAACTTAACCTACCTTACGTGGTAAAAACAATTTCATCATACCAGAAATACTACTCATATTCTAATTTACTAAACTTAAAAGTTAAAAACACAGTCAATTTTCATTAGATCTTTCGAAACTGAAGTCAAAATATGTGTCATCTTTTTTTTATTAAGGAAAACTCTACAAGTAATTCATTAGGTTCATTTTAGTTTTTTATGATAAAAAAAAATTTTATCATCAATAAATATTACTTGCATCTAAAATTACTACTTTTAATTGCTAATAAAATATTCCATATTCATTGGATCATCTTGAAACCAAAACCAAAAGATTCACCATCATCTTTTAACTAAAGAGTACTTTACATAAAGTACGTTATGTTTATTTAAGAATTTTATAAAATCAAAAAATTGTGTTATCATACAAGAAGCACTATTCTTATCTAATATTTATAATTGCTGGAATAATTCCATAGACATATAAAACAATTTAAATTAATGAACATGCAAGATTTGACTGCCATAAACTTTCAGTTACATCATCAATAATGACTGCTTTAGATAATGACAAATTAGATAGTTGGAATAATTTAATTATAACTATACTTTTGCTAAAAAGTATTACATGCAAAGACCGAATTTATATCAATTTTAAGTAAATGTATGCATCATTAGGTAATACATTGTTAAAAATATTTTATTAAAATTAAATAGTAGATACATTGGTGATATAAATAGAGTAAAGTAGATTTAATGTAGTATGTTAATTAATTGGTAAATTCCTTTTTATGAAACTGGGCCCTTCCCATAGAAAATTCCTAGCTACGGTCCTGTTTGAAGAGTAAAACACGCATTCAGTTGGGAATTTAATGATTCATTAATATTAGTTATACGCATTGTAGAATTCGAAAATTCAACCCAAATAGATAGAGAAAATAAACTGTTAGCATTGTAACAATCACAGATGTTTCTAAAAAGTAGTCATTCAAAAATGCACGTGTTCTATTATCACCTGATTGAATTGCTCTTCAATAAATCTTGAAATTTTGCATCTTGTAAAACAGTTGTCTACATAATTTGAATTTAAGATTGACAGTCCAAAACAAAAGTAATTTTTAAAATATTCCATTTTCTATTTTTTCTTTTTAAAATGTGCATAAACGTACTGTTTGAATTTTTCTCCATATGTTCTCTCCTAAGTAAAAAACGGTATTTCTTTTTTATTACATTTGAAAAACTAAAAGTCCAAAATATATTGATAGTTCAAAATCAGTGTAAATTGTTTTTCACGATAAATTTTAGTTTATTCGTTCATATTTATTAATAGTGACTAATAATACGTACAACGATTTAGTGTGATTGGTAAATATTCCTAAATATATGGTACCTAGTTAGTAGTTACTATCACAATCTAAACACGGCGACCACCGATCAAATAACGACAAAAATTATACATAAGTATTAGTATATATTATTGAGTACTTTACTATATATATTATACAGTATATTTAAATATGCAGTAAATATTGAACTTGTTACTTTGGCAAATCAGCCAAAATGTAAAACAGCCGAAAATGAATATACAATTTTGATCAAGAAGTATTCTTATAAAATTTTTTATCATAGATACACAAGGTCAGGATCATATTTTATTAATGATGGAATGGAGTAGTCAGGTTGTGCATATTTTATAATTCGTTGATTTATTCACATATTATGTATGCAATTTACTCAATTACAATAAATACACAAATCCAATCCATATTCATTAATGAAAATAAAAATAAATTTCTAATACAAATATACAATAATTTATTTTAATATATTAGTTCAAATTTACATTATTTTATATCAATAAAATATAGTTTTTATAAAAGTAAAAATATTTTCTAATAGGTACTCCTCTTATAATAAAGTATAAAATGAGTAGTATTTTTACAACAAAAAAATAAAGTATATTTTTCTCACAAAATATTAATAACCAGGGCTCGGAACTTTATGCATTTGCATCTTACTCAGGAAGCTGCATATTTCAAATCTGATTCGATACAAATTCGTTTCATGAACCATACAGTTGAAATACAACAATTTATGTTGCATATTTTTGCATATTTTACTAAATTTATATGATTATGCATATTTAAAGATTTTGAGTATATAAATGCATTTTATGGTAAAATGTATAAGAAATCAACAACAAACAAGTTTTGATATTGAATATTATAAATTAAATAATTTAAAAATAATAGCCGACACGCTAATTTCAGTCTATGTTGAATTATACCATACCGAGTAATAGTTGAAATATTGTGTAAATGTTTATAAATATTATAATTTATAATCGTCTTATTTAAAAATGTTTCAAGAATAAAATATATTTTTACCAATAGCTGTCATTATTGCTTGTCGACGCTCGCGTATGGTTTATATGTGTTTTACTCAAGAAATAAGAATTCTTTAATGACCGTAATGACCGGCCAGGTTTTAAATTATATTGAAGTCGCTCATAGATAAATTAAACAAAATTATCATATACCAATGATATTATACATATTGTATGTTCGTGTGTCATAGTGTTTGTTCGTGTGTCGAAAATATTCGATAACGATGATCTGTTACTAATATTAGTTGTTCGTACCGTATTGTTCGCCACCGTGCTCGATTGCCGCTTAGTGCCACTGTAATATTCTGATTTTAATATTCTACTGACAAAATTTAAATGCCTAAAGAAAAATTTAGTATCGTTTAAATATTTCGGTCTGAGTTCGGTAAAATGTTTTAGTATTGACACTAGGGTATTATTTAAAATATTGCGGTCGAAAGTTGATTCGGAAAGAAGATCCAGCGTAATACAGCATTTGAAAAGAAAACATTTGCGTTCTGTTAAACGTAAAGAAATCAAAGTAGACCGTGCCAACAACTTTAACCAATGATTTACCGTCTAAAATCGAAGTTCAACCTGATTTTATGCGCTATATCTCAGCTAATATACCACTATACCACTTAATAAATCATCAAATATGAGTTTTAATATTTTGAAGTTTATTCTGGAAAGATGTCCCACAGAATCAGTACTGAAAATTTCTATTAGACGACTCTACAATGAAATGATGGAAAATGAGGCAAACGTGTTTCGACCGAAAATGGTGTCACTTGATGAAACAACAGATGCATATCGGTATATAGCTAATGTATTAGGGACTTTGAGAGATATTGTGGTCCTTTTTACTGAATATGAAGCACTAGAAAAGACCATCACTCTACGGTTAGTAAACTTTTGACAACCCAAGCATTTATGCGTCTGATGGGATAAGACACGACGACGTTTTATTTTTGTCCGACGCTGCGCCGTATATGGTAAAGTGTGAAAATCTCTGAATGCACCATCTTAAAATGGTACGACTTGTGCTGCTCATTCTCCATAGAGTTTCGGAGTATGAATCAATTTGGTACATGTTGATAAATAGCTAATGTAAAAAATTTAAAAGCACCATCACGCATACAAATTTTCAAAATTACGCACTGGATATCCTTACTCAGAACCAATCATAACTGAGGGTACTGGATCAATTACATTATTATTGTAAATACTACGAACAAATTCGTGATGTTGTAAATATGTTGGACTCCAATAATGCTTTAAGTATTAAAGTTTCAA